ATTCCCTAATTTGGAGTGAAGGTCCACATGGACATTTTTGATCCAGTTGATTTTAAAAGTGTAGTTTGGGCTCATTAAAAAAAAAAAAATCCTAAAAAAATCCTAAATCTAAATAATTAAGGCCGCCAGAGTCAACAGTATTTATTGTCACAAAGTTTTTTATAGGCTAATGGGTTTTGTTTTGCAAACAATTTTAAATAGCATCTTATCAACAAATTCACAAAGAGAGGACTCTGCATTTAAAGCAAGTGAAGCGTATGTTATCCTGGATACCTTCAGCTTTTGTTTTACTGAATGAATTAGTTTACCAGTGCAATACATTTACAGTGACCACCCAAAGTAGTCCAATTCAATACATTGTCTGTTCTATACTCATTGGTCAGATTGAATTTTATCAATGATGGAGCGGAAGTTCATATTGCATCCTTCATCTAATAGGCTACTTAAAAAACCCATGATATCAGGGATTTCACAGGAATGTCATCTAAACATGAATGTTTACACTGTGAATGTGTAGTGCAGTGCAGTGCAGGCAGTAGTGCACATTATTTATATTTAAACAAAGGTTTGTTTATATGCTGCAGAAAATATTTGTTTAGGTTTAATTGGGATTTGGTCCGGTCTGAATCGGAAACCGCAAAGACTTCACCTACCATTATGCCTTGTGTTGACGTAACGTCCGGTGGAGCTGTTGGCGGGCAGAACGGCATCGGTACTGGTTGTGAGCGACGCTCAGGCTATTGTGTTATACAGCAGCAAATCACGTACAGGGAGAGTGGTTCCAAAGCACGCCATTCAGCTCCTGGGTAGTTGTGTGTGTCGCCACTTGCGCGCCGTCGGCTTTTTCATCGTCTACAACAGACAGGTCAAATCACAGCGTTGTCACTCGGGCCTACCGTAAGCCCTTAAAAGCGCTGCGAAGCATTCTCTGTAAAGGTAAGGCTCATGTGTTAGCTAACAGTTAGCTGTTGAGGGAAAACACGCCAGCCATGTTGCCCTCTGGTTGCAGGGAGCAGGCCGACCAGCTCGTCTACTTGCTCAGGTTTTATTGAATTGCAATGTATTGTGGCGAAATCAATGAAATGAGTATCTGAACATACTTTGGCATTCGCCGACTAGCGTTATTTAATGCCGTGCGCGAGGCTACGGCGTGTGCAGGCGCTGTGGACAAACTGCACCACGCTGGCTTCGACGCTGCTCTTATGAAACACTGGACAGAACAGCTTTGTTTTACTGTTGAGGTAATGTAAGAACCCTTCAAGTCATGACATGGTGACTTAATTTGCCCAGGTGTGTAAATTGGAGTTGCGATTCCCGCTGTGTGTCTTTCGGTGGATGCAGCCTGCAGATCATGCTCAGTGTTATTCGAGAGGCATGGAGGGGGGCGTTTTTCTTTAATGTTAACCACCACATTAGTCCTGGTCATGTTAGCCGGCACATTTGGGATTTTCAAAATGACAAATGACAAAATGATAATCAGGTAGACTCTCTTTTGTTAACGGGGTTGTAAGTTAGCAAACAAAGATGAACATTAGACGCCACGTGACTCCAGGGGTTAAGGAGTGAAAGCGGATAGCCTCGGGGTCTGAGAAGTGCAGCCAATACCGTAAACCTGCATTCTGTATAATGGCCGCAAGGGGCGGTTTAGAGGTCTATGAAAAAAATGACCCTACGTCAGAAAAAAACATTTTGCTAATGAGTTTATGGTCTCAATTGCTAGTTTCAGGTTAATTTAGTAAAAATAGACTATAAAGCAGGCTATGATTATGGCATGGCTACCTTGTGGATGACAAGTTGTTACTACAGCCACCTGTTTGGTCAGGATAGAGCCCTAGCAATGCATATTAGAGGCTGACGTTTTTTCAGGATTCTTGATATTCCCCCGGATGGGCCCTGACGGGACAGGGGAGAAACTCGGTGTTGGGGTTAGCAGGTATATTTATATTTCTAGTAGCTTAGGTTGTATTTTATTGTAGTGTTTACTCACTAGCCTGCTTTCCCTTCAGTTCTCTTTTCCCCACATCCCCACATTGACACGCCTCTACTGCAAACACCCCCACCTCGTCCTGTCTCTCACTCCCTGTATGTGTCTGCTGGGTGTACTTTCTCCATCAGCAGTGGGCTACATTTATAAAGTTGCCAAAAAGGCATAGAACGCACAATTTCCACCAGCGATACCGTTTTCAGCCCCAGGTGTGCCACATGTGGATTTGTTAATAACGAAGCTTATCAAAATGACCAAAATTAACGTTGTACCAAATGACACCTCTGTTCACTGGGTCTGTGCTTGTAAAACAATCTGTGTGTCTGCATCTTATAACCTAATAGATAGCATCTCTCCCTATGTTTCTCTGTAAAATGCTCGCCAAATATATTTGGGTTTCCTTTAATAAAACCTGAGTAGCCCACGGACGTAAAATCTTGTGTGTGGAAGAAGCTGATATGAAAAAACATCCGTCAAGCCGATGCTAAACAAGTTCACAGTGCTGATTTTAGGCCTAGTCCACATGTACACGGGTGTTTTCTTTTATAACCAGAGTTTTTCCTCCTTCATTTAAAAAAAAAAAAATCTGTCGACATGCTATCAGGCGCTGTCAAGAGCATGCCAAACCACCAGACGGGGATATGACCCTAACCGTAAAGCCATGTTGGCCAATCAGAGCCTAATAAAATTGTAAACGAAGAAGGCAGTGGCGCGCACGCACTCTGACGTTACAAAGCAAAACTTCCAGTTTGTCTGTCTACATGACAACACTGCAACCAGCGTTTCTTAAAATCTTCATAGAATAGTCATGGTTTTGTAAAATCTTGTTTGTGTAGACAGGGTCTAATTCTCTCACCACCAGGTAAATCTCCCTGTATTCGCAGTAGTGATGTGTTTAATGCCCAACCGGTGATGAATGTTTAAAATATAAAATGTTACTTTTAAGTGTGCTGGTTTTGTTTTTCGTTCTGGAAGTGGGGGGGTTAGCAGGGGTTAGCTCATTAACTCAACATCGTTTATATTTTATAATAGAGTTGACGTAGCTGGTAAAAGGGATGGTGATATTCTTTGTCGTCGCAGTTGCTCATGAAGCCAATGCTTTGACTTCCCTACCCTGTCTGCGCCTCTCAGCTCCAAGCCCATTGCCCCATACTATTGATGTAAATATTTTAAAGTGGACCATCAATATTTACTGTATAAAAAAAAAAAAAGATTTGGGTCACTGTAGTTTTTAGCAAACATTGCAATGTGCCCGGTGCAACAATGTCATACGGTGATGAGTTTTTAATAGTTAGTTAAAAAATGGACGGCATGCTAGCTGTATTACCATACGACGTAACGGCTAAAAAGTGAAAAATTACTTTAGAAGATGATTTTTGGATGAAGCTAAGTTATGGGACAAGTACCCCAAGTACTGAAGGGCTTGTATTTTTTTTTTTTCTGTACTACGAAGCTGATTGTTTTGATTCTTTTAAAATCACAGTGGTTTACATTTATAATACCAACTGGTGTAGTGGTAAAGTAAAGAACACAATAGTTTTAGACAAGGCGGTGGTAGGAATGCTGAAATAGAGTTGGCATTGAATAACAGCGGCTAGCCTGGATGTGGTGTCATGACTTTGGCTCTCTAGTTGTCAAAATGGCTGCTGGAGTGGGACCACTAGCAGACACACTCCAGATGTAATAGTTAAAGGCTTTCACAGTGTTTGTCTGAGCCAGTCCTTTGAAACGGTACAGCTCTTTATCTGGTGACCCCTCCTCCTGTCTTTCTCTACTCAGGTTTCAGCTTCTTTTCTCTCTTGCCTGGCCTAACATGGAATCCCTGTGGCTTTTGATCTGGGTTGGATGGGGAGTCTGGGTCTTTCCTTTTTGTCAGATTATAAATTAAAGGACATACATACATTCTTTTTAAGACAGGTCTTGTGATAGGCCATCACTCCCAGAATCAAATCAAATACAAAACTAAGGATGCACCGAATGTTCAGCCACCGAAATTAATTGTCCAAAAATAGTAAAAATAGCACTTTCTGTGTTCGGTCAAAGTCAGATAAAATTTTACCGACCAATTACGTTGACATATCAGCAGTGTGGAAGAATTTTAAAGTGTCAGAGAAAGACGCAAAAATGCCCGTTTGCAGACTTTGTTCTGCTGAATTGTCCCCTAGCACATCCACTCCATCTGTGGCTGACTTCTTAGAAAAGGCAACAAACGGTCTGACCCATTTTGAAAATGTGTTTGTCTATACAATATGGAAATAAGATTAATTGAACTCTATTCACAGAAAGTATAAAATATATTACATGTGTACATTAGAAGTAAATAGACACATGTAATTTACTTTACCGGACTTTACCTCTTGGGCCTCGGACCCACCCACCATAGTCTCTCCAAATCCTGTGGGAAACACTGAGTGAAAAGGACATTTTTTCATTGTATTTGTTTTCGGCTTTGACCAAGAAATTTCATTTCGGTGCATCCTTACACAAAACTTAGCGGTAACCATTTCATCCCTATTTGAGGTAAATATATTGCATTGTTTCCCCTACCATTGTTTTTGAGGGGACAGGGAGTACAGTGCACTCATGTGTTGCAAAAAGGCATTCATTAAAACTGAGCTGCCCCAACGAAAGAATGCAAATATGAGTAATAAAGTAGGATGTTTAAAGATTGTGGGGTGGTGATGGTGCAGTGGATAATAGACATGACTTTGGTGTGAAAGAACCAGGTTAGATTCCTACTGTGACACATCTTGGGCTGAAACGATTCATCGATTAAATCGAAGAATTTCGATGAATTTGCAATGAATTTGCGTCGATGCTTTGTTTCATCCATGTAACTATCCAGCACACTGTTTAGCACGGACATTTATAACTGTCGCACATCGCGTTTACTCTGTGAACACGAGGTTATTATAATGGCACTGTTTGCAAAGTGGAGGTAGAAAGAGAAAATAGCAAGGGACAAAGAAGAAGTGTCCACAGTATGGGATTATTTCAAGCTAAAAGTAAACAGTTAATGTTACCATCAGTCCACCGTAAAAAAAACTTATGTCGCGTCCGCAACAGCACGACGGCATCTGATCAAAAAGCAGCCGGTGTTCTGCCAGCGGACCACGGACAAGGTAACAGCAACTTTAGCATTTAACTGAAATCATGATTGATTGGTGGGTTGAAGGCAAGCCAAAGTAAGCGGTGGTGTGGGGAGCTGCACCTTTTTACTCCCCTCCAGCTCTCTCTGTAGCTCAGACGATCCCTGGTACCTGCGTGTGCTCATCCATCGTTTCACCCACATTCTTTGTCTTTATAATTTCTATCTTTAGAATAACAAACAGCTGTTTCGTGTGTTTGGAGACCAGCGTCGGGTGACACAGCCGCTGTCAGCTCGTGTAGTTTCACCCTGTTACCGATCAAGGGACAGTGCACACTAATAATACAAAAATAAATGTTTGTGACAAGAACAATTGGTCAATATCAACAACAACGCGCACATACATACACAAGCCAAACTGTCAGTCCATATATCAATACAGTTTTGGACAATATAGCTCGGACAATGACGAACAACAGAGGTTTAACCTATCTAAACACAAATGAGCCACAAATGAACATGTTGGTATACTGGCTCTGGCTAAATGTACATTAGCAGAGGCTCTAATCACAACCTGGAGGAGGAACTAGTATACAAGAGTGTATAATATTAAAACAATGAATAGAGTACCATGGTCAGATGGTATACTGTTAGAATAACAATAATATATTAATTACTACATTCATTATAATTTTTGATATACTATTTAACCACTAGTTGAATAATAAATCCAGTTACAGCTGTTATGTTTTCGCATGTGACATCATCACGATTGTAGTTGCGATTAGATTAATCATGCAGCCCTAATTTTTACCATATCATAGTTGGAAAAGATAAAGCAGATTATATAAAGAACCATAAAGCTAAGGACTAAACTGGCTAGCGCTAACCGACTTCACTTTTCCAGCTGTTTGGAAAATGTGATGGACTTTTCTTGGTCTTGAGAAGCTGTCACACTGTAACAGACAAATACATGGGGGTGTCTCTCTCTCTCTCTCACACTCACACACACACTCACACATTCTGGTTAATACAAACTTAAAGACGACACCAGATTGAAATTTGAAGCAAAATAAATGTATTGCTATAAAATGTACTTAAGACATAACAGACTTACAAGATGCTTATTAATCATTCAACTTAAACCTCCTCATTAATTAATTTTTATTTTATGCTCTGCTTCACTGGCTTTAACGGAGGGGAACGTAGCAAACAGCAGGTATAAATAAACGGGAGATTTACGGGGAGATATTTTAATGGGGGGATACCTGGAGAGAACGGTAAAATATGGGAGAAGCCCGGGGGAGACGGAAGGGTAGACAGGTATGCACGTTATAGTGGTAACTAGCTAGTTAAATGCTAAAAACACTCCAGGTACTCCAAGCACGACTTGACGGCTCCCGACCCCAACTTCAATCTCCTAACGTCCACCCCCTTATATATATATATATATATATGCGCCAATCAGACACAAGTAACCTGAAATGAACATAAAAAACACCAATGAACGCCCCTAATCCGTGTTACACGATTTTAGATCAATGGGTACAGTGGGGACAAAATTAAGTGCGACACATGACAAAAAGAAATGCTGTTGTGTACCATCAAAAAGCTATTATGGCAATATCGTACTGAATAATTTACCCGCCAATGTGGCAGGTAGCCTTCCAACATTTGGCCACCAAATGCAAAATCTACCTGCATTTGGTGCTTGGCAGGTGTTCATTTCCACCCCTGCCTGTGAGTATAGCCATATAACTATAGTAAAAGACAAGACGGCTGCATGTTGCTGTACATGTAGCTTGTAGATCACCACTTTTCAGTTATCTTTCAGTCCCTACATGTCATGTCAGTTTTAATGCAGGAGATGCTTTGGCCTCGTAAGTGTTCAGGACTGGGCAGCTCATATGCCAGTGTGTTTTCACTATTCAAACAGAAAGTTATAGTATTAAAACATGCTATAAATGAACTATAATTCATTTATCACTTCATTATTATAATCCTTATCATTATCCACATGTTTCCTTGTCGGCCCACCAGAGGCGCCCTCAGCAGACTTCAAGCTGGCGACTGTTGCAGGAAAGAAGGGCAAGAAGGCTGATGAGGAGGAGCAGCCTGCCGCACCTGCAGCGGCACCTGCCGCCGCACCTGCAGCAGCGCCAGTAGCTGCAGCACCAGCAGCAGCAGCGCCGGAGGAGGAGGAGGAAGAGGAGGAATATGTGGTGGAGAAGGTTTTGGACCGCAGAGTGGTGAAGGGCAAAGCGGAGTTTCTGCTGAAATGGAAGGGGTTCTCTGAGTGAGTATGAGTTTCCACTAAGGTAACACTCTGTTGGTGTTCTAGGCCCTTTGGTATTTTAAGGATTTGTTTCTGGTAGCAAATAAGTTTTTTTGTTTAAAAATTGCAAATAAATGACAGCATAAAGGATCAGCATTGCATCATGCCCACAAAATTGAAAGTTTAGAATTTTGCTATAAAATTACCGGCCTGCAAATTACCTTAAACATTGCATTTTTATTAAACAAAGAAAGTATTAGGAATCAAAGCTACAAGCGGCATTGGACAGGGAGACAGCTCTGAATTATTGCGTAGTTTGGAGCAGTCATGAAGGAGTTAATCGTCGGTTCCTGTGTCCCCTATGTGGCGCTAGAGAACACCCGGTAATTCTGTTGTGTACATAAAGTGTGGACCACGCTATGAAAATGCCTTGTAAATCAGATGATTATCAGAAATGGCTTGCTTCCTGTTGCCAATAGTTAAGGCTATGGCATTAAGTGAATATTAGCATGTAGATGTGCTCAGGGCAGGACACTTGTCAAAAATGTAAAGTTTGGTGCAGGTCTGAGCATGTACACTGGAAAAACTTCCTGTTTCATGGCGAATCATCGATATTCGAGGCCACGCCATGGACACCCCTTTCGGCGAAAACTCACAGTTGGCACAATTTTTGATTGTCAATGCCTTTAGATTGCACAGCCAAAATTTGAAGTCGATCGGAGGAGTTTGTTAAAGTATGGAGCCTGGGAATCGCCAAAAATGGCCATTAAATTCAAAATGGCTGACTTCTTGTTGGGGTTCGGGCATCACTCCCAGAGGCTTTTTCGTAGGCCTGGACATGATGCATCTGCCATTTTGCCACTACCTGCGCCAAAACCATATTACATGAAAATTTTCCCCAAGCTTGAATTTTGTGAAAAGTTTCTTGAGTTTTCAAGCCTGTTTAGGCTGCCAAAAATGGGATTCATTTGGGGGGGGAAAAGAATAATTCCTTCTCTTTCAATAGGGTCCTCGCATGTTTCATGCCTTAATTAAGAGTGAGAATGTGTTCCGAACAAATGCTGACTGAACATGTTCCATTCATGTGTGCTGTCTGCACCCACCTTTCTAGTGAGGATAACACATGGGAGCCAGAAGAGAACCTGGACTGCCCCGACCTTATTGCAGAGTACATGCAGAAACACAAAGAGAAGGAGGAGAAAAAGAAGGAGGGCAAGAGGAAAGTCACCAGCGAGGCCTCGGGAGACTCAGAGGAGCGAGGGAGCAAGAGGAAGAAGGAGGAGGTGAGTGAAGGAGACTTCATGCTTCAAACTAAAGACTCCCAGCAGTTAGCTAGACCACAAATAAATTTACAATTTAACTAATTATATACAACGTCTACACTCACGTGCTTTAATATTTGTAGCAGCATTATCTGTTACCCGTCTGTTTTTTCTTTTTTGGTCATGTGGCTTCTTGTTTTTATACTTCCTGTCTCCAGGGTGAGAAGGCCAGAGGTTTTGGCAGAGGTTTGCAGCCGGAAAGGATTATTGGAGCAACAGACTCCAGTGGAGAGCTGATGTTCCTCATGAAGTGGTGGGTCTTCACTGTCATTTTATAAAGGTCCAGAGATGGCTTTGTGGTAGATTTATTTTTAAAGGTGATTTGGGATTCAACAGTATGTTTAACAAACAAAAAAACTGAGACAGGTTATGGATTGTAATTTGGAAACCCACATTTATAGCTCCTAGAGCAGTGGTGACAGTAACTGGTATAGCCTCAACGGTCCAGTTTTTCACCACAAGGGGCCGTGTTCACAATGGATCTTATCTTACCACTAGGAGTCCTCCTATATGTACACATCAGTGCAACAAATGAATAGAACTGGACAGATGTCAATTAAAATATGAGCTATTTTGTATATTAAATTATCATAAATGAAAAAAAATGAAATTTCATTCATTGGCTGGCCTACCTGCTTTTTATGCCAGTTCAAAATAAAAGCTCTGCCGTAAATTCTTTATTTTACAAAGTCTATTGTTGTTGACTGTTTGTTCAGTAGTGAAGCAAGCTTCCCCTCAGACTGAGGAGGAAAGTCCATTACAGTGAACAGATGTTCAAGAATGAAGGTCAGTTGTGAAGTTGCAGGTCGCAGCACTGAGGCCCATTAGGAAGTGGAAAACAGTCTTTTAAAATAAAAGCACTGTTGTAGAAATTCACAGTAAAGTTGAAAGTAAACCACATGTTCACGACCCACTCAGATTTCACTCACCAGTTGGGAACCACTGTCCCAGAGAACAACTTTGGGTGGTTATCCTTGTTAATTACCAGACTAAAACCTTTACTTTGTGTTTATAGTTGGAGGAAAGAAATGGCCAAGAGCCGATTGTCAAACACTGTTCTCTTTTGCGCTCTCTCTTTATCTCCCTCTCATTTGTTTGTCCTATCTGTTGTTTTTTTTGTCTTTCCCTTGCTCTTTACTCCTCCTTTCTGTCCCGTCTCTCTTGCATGTTGATTCTCCCCTTCTACTCCTCCCTCCTCTCTTTTCTCCTGAATTAAAATTAACAGGAAGAACTCAGACGAGGCCGACCTCGTCCCAGCCAAGGAGGCCAACATCAAATGTCCCCAGGTGGTCATCTCTTTCTATGAGGAGCGCCTCACCTGGCACTCTTACCCCACGGAGGAGGAGGAGAAGAAAGAGGAGGAGAAAAAAGACTAGATGAGTGGAGGAGGGGGCAGAGGTGCAAAGAGGAAAAGAAAGTATGGAAGTTCCAGGGCGGGAAAGCAACTATATGCTGGTGAACTGTTCAAGTAATTGATTCTAGCAGCCACTTTGGCAGGGAAAGTGGAGAAAATCCCAGATTGTTGGGAGTGAACTGCCAATGTAGCTGAAAGGAAAGAAGTTTGTTTTCTTGCCCTGAAAGGAGACTGGTGTCCTTTCCTCAAAAGATGCTCCCGCCTGTATCTTGACTGAAAATGTAAAAATATTTTAAAGAGGTATGTTGACACTTAGTCTTATTTTAATGTCTTTCTGTCACCAGGGACGTGTCGCTTGATGGGCACCGGGGCCTTTATTCTGCTAGCATTCCTCCTTGGCGTCACAAGATGAATATTGAACTGAATACAGTGAAATTACTTAAAGTGTTTGTCTGCTCGATTTGGTGACAGGTGCCTGGTGTTGGAAATACAGGACTACAATGCAAGCTGTCAAGCTACCTCTTTAACGTGTCCATCCACGTGAGAAGCAAGCTGAATGTTTCTCTCCCCCCGTACGCCACTCTTCATTTAGAATTCCTGTTTTTAAGAAATGTTTTCCAGCTGATGAAAGTGGCTCAAATTATAGCGGATCAGAGAGCACAAGCTTCCCTTCCTGCTTTGTTAGGATACTTCGGAGGGAACGTCTTTTGGAGGGGAGTGAAGTGGCAAGGTATTATGGAGGAATGAAAGAACGGACAAACCATTCATGTCTTTAAGTATCTGTTCTTTTCGTGCCACCTGGGTTCTCATTATTGCTGACTTAACACTGTTCTTGATCGAAGCTATTCTACATTTCATCTAACACGGACAGGTTGACACAGAAACCCGTCTTTGTTAATCTGTCCATGTTAGTGTGAAATGTACAGTCTACATGAAAAGACCACCAGTTGTTGGCTTTGGCCTTACATGTCCTACCAGCCAATGTGGCAGCCAACCAGCCAGTGTTCAAATGTCCTGCAGTTGTCTGCCAAAACAGTTTAAAAAGCTGAAACAGTGCAGTCATTCCAGCCATGGGTGATGCTACTGGCCAAACCCTGTACTGCCTGTTAAATTGTTTGTATTAAAATGAATGAAAGTCTGTTTTATCAAACCATTAGTTGAAGTATTTGTGCTAATTTGGTGGCGGTTTAGAGGCAAACGTGTAGCTTTTCTGTGAATGTAAAACTGTCCATCTGCTGTATTTTGTGTGACACAATCATATGTGTTATAGAAATTAAGGTATATATTATGATGTTGCAGTTTGAGTTAGTCTTGGTATTTTCTTGAACATGGTCAGGGAAAGTCAGTCATGTGGTAATACTGTCAATTCACCAGCCATTTTCAAGACTAGGTCACAGTATTTGTTTAGTAGGAAGCCAAATTGTCGCCCCTAGGACAAGAAGTAAAATGACCACTTACAGAAGTAGTGAACTATAAGTATAACCATAAGTGTACAGACTTTAGTTCCCAGACTTCTCGTGCCAGTTTATCAATTTTATTCAGTTAATTTTTAATAGAACTAAGGCTGGTTGGTTACCTGCCAGAGTGGCTGATAGTGTACAAACGGCAGCAAAATCAGCATCTGGCAGGTTTTCATTTTCCACTGCTAGATTGACGAGCACACTGACTTGAAGAGTTGCCTCTCATATGTCAAACCAAGGACTCCAGTCTAAACAAAGTGAGATGCTCTTAAAGCCGTAGATTAGATGGATCCAACTGATGATCGCTCCGACAAACGCATCATAAAACTGGAATGGACGAAGTGCTAGGCTCAGAATCGGCAGGTTTCCACTTCAGCCAAACTCTGATGGTAACCTCTCAGCGCACTGCGCTCCAATTGCATTTCTTCAGGAACCCTGATAGTGTTTTATTAAAAGCAAGCTGGACTAAAAATCATGTTTATTTGCAAGGTACAGCTATTGTTTGAAACCAAAATGTAAGAATAGGAAAACGAGTAGTATTAAAATATATATAATCTCTCTCTGCTGAAACTTAAAGTTTCTCTGTCTAAACGTGCCCCAGTTTGAACCAGAAGTGAATAGTGTTGGACAAGACAACCATCAGTGGGACACCTGACCAGCCATATGTCAGTGATTTATCAGATGTGATCTGCACATTCATCACATCTGGCTTATGGTGAAAGTTTCTGCTTGTTAATTCCTATGACCGTGGCTGGTAGGTGGATGTGAGACTGCGGCTCTGTAACAAACACAACTAGCTTTTATTGCTAATGGAGGAACGATTGAAAGTATGTTTAAAATCTTCATTTCCACTCCTCTCCGAACCATCACAGACACTCAGCTACGTGTGGTTTTTTTTTATGCTGTATTATTTTAGCTTGCACTGGCCGGGCAACACTCAAGACATGATGTTTCAGCACATTTAGAGTATTTCTTGGTTCATCTTGCTTGCGTGCAGACTGGTCCTATGTTAAAACACATTTTGATATTAAATAAAACTTTTGAATTCAGCATGATTAACATGACTGCTTCATATGAGAGGTCTTTCAGTGGTGTTCTCTCTGCTGCGTTTAATGTGTCGAATGTAGCCCGGCTGTGCTTATTTCTATGTATACTGTATTAAAGTTAGCATAGTAGCTTCCTCTGTTAGCAGACCCGGCTTAGCTAGTTACAATCCCTGATCTCTGAACTGTTGGTTTTCAGTGGCCTGCTGCGGCTGGAGATTAATGAGAGCGCTCACCTTTAAAGACATTTAATTCTGAAAATGTTTTCCTTACTGTAATGCAAATTAATTTTCAGTGGACATTCTTCTGCTTCGCCTTGCGCTGCCATGTGTCACATTTGAAACAGCAGCTATTTTTAAATGTTTACTTTTTGTTCCAGAAAGACTTTAATGAGCCTTAACCCTCAGTGACATTCTATGGAAGACATGTACAAAGCAGCAAGCTACATAAAAACACAGTCCCAATATTTCTGCCTATGTACTTCATACAACAAGGCCAGATGATGAAATGGGAAGATGCTCATTACACACTTGACCAAGATCAGCTCTCTGATGTTTTTGACCTCTACTTTGTTTCCTTAAGAGGCTGAACTGAGTTGAGTTTGTGTGTGGGATTTATCTTATTCTTTTTCAAAGTAAGTTGAGTCAGTTTAAAGAGTTTATAGCATTTAAAGTCAAACCTCTGACTCTAAAATTTCTGTGATACTCTGCATGTTAGTATCTGTATGTTGGGCCTAACCTTTCTACTTTGTCTGTTTTCAATTAAATATATTCAGTACTTTTCCTGAAGATCTTTTATTTTTTTTTTTAGAACTTCTGGCTGTTGGGACTTATATTTTCATGTACATTAGTATTGTAAGTAAAATGTCCTGCACTATGACTGCCTTCTGTTACACGTTACCTTTGATGGGAAGGGATTGGATCAGCTAGACCTGGGTTTGCTACTTAGCTTCTCTATCTTGTCTCTGAAACCTTTCTCTGTATTTAGCAGATTAGCTAGTGTTGTCCTGTTGCATGTTTATTGGTTACCCTTGCAGTGTCACTGTTGTGGCCCATCTACTTTTAATTGTCTGTTTTAGGCAATAAAGGTTTTTCGTTTTCGTAGCTATTTGTACTGGTGTCTCAATTAGTCTTTTTATTATTGTAATGACAACATAAACAACTAACTACCACAGTTATGTGAACATTTAGAAAGTTGTGTGATTGCTAAAATCTTATTTTGTGCTACCAGTGGGTTCTTTGTGCCAGTACAGCATTTTCACATGTATACCACATTGACAACTCCCAATTATTAAATACATGGTATTAGTCGTGAATGTTTAGAAGCCTAAAAAACACCCGGTGATGCCTGTGAGCATTGATTTTTCCAGTTGTGAAAGAAGTATCCAGTAATACCACAACTTAAAAGTCTTGATTTCAGAGTCCTACTTAAGTAAAAATAATAATTAATAATTTGACTTCTTTAGGCCACAGACAGTTAGTTATTTAAATGAAAATATGTGAGAAGTTTAGAGGGGAAGTGTCCTAGTGGAACTGCTACCAACTCAGACAACTGAAATGTGACAAGAGGCCCCAACTAGACATATTTTGGTAGGGGTCACAAGCCAAAAGTTAGTCATTCATTTCATCTTGAACAATTTAAGCTTGTGTAGTTATTTTTTTTAATTACGTTAAAAAACAAGAATAGCTGTCCCATAAATGTAGTGCAGTAGAAGTATAATGTAGCAAAAACTGGAGATACTCAGGTAAAGTGGAAGTATGTCAAAATTGTACATGAGTAAATCTACGTATGTTGCTCCGCTGCCTTTACCTTGCTTTTACATTTTACAGCCAACATTTGACTGCACTTCCTACAATACCTAGAATTCACTGCCAAGGCCGCATTGTAAGATCTACATGGAGCATTTTGTTTGTCTAAAAAGAAAATCTAATGTGCTTAAATACTTAATTACTTAACAATAACTTCATTTGACTAACATTGAGAAAATCAATTCTGACTAGCCCAGCTCATGTGTTCATGCGTATGTACCAGTAGCTGATGTTCAATTCAATTCAATTAAATTTTATTTATATAGCGCCAAATCACAACAACAGTTATCTCACAGCGCTTTTCATAAAAGAGCAGGTCTAGACCGTACTCTATGATGTTATTTACAGAAGCCCAACAGTTCCCACCAAGAGCAGCACTAGGAGACAGAGGCAAGGAAAAACTTCCTTTTAAGAGGCAGAAACCTCGAGCAGAACCATGGCTCAGGGTGGGCGGCCATCTGCCTCGACCGGTTGGGGTGAGAGAGAGAGAGAGAGATGTAAGGAGAGAGAGAGGGGAGGGAGGCAGCCTACACAATATACACACAGAGGTACAGACAGTGAAGGTAATGTTGCTATAGACTAAATGAAAAATGGTACAGATATTTATAATAGTGTTAATGGTAACCATCGTAATGTTAATGATTATAATAACAATAATAACAATAAGACTAGCAACAATAGTCGTTGTAGCAGAGGGTGTCGAGCAGGAACACGGGGGCAGCAGGTGACCCGCAGCCACAGATCCAGACTCCACAGCTCCAGAGCCAGAAAACCTGCAGGAAGTGATAGGAGAGAGGAGAGAGACGAGAAAGCACAAGACTACCAGAAAGGGGAGAAGTTGTGTTAGTAACATGCAATAATGGGATGAGGTTGCATACAGAGGGAGAGAAAGTAGAGGAGAGAGGAGCTGATGTGTGCCTAATCACAAAATCATCGCCAGATGGTGTTTCCCAACTTAACAAAGATCACATGTATGCGTCCATTTCTCAGCTACAATGACCTATTTCATTCCAGAAATGGGGAGTATGAGACAAAGCCACTGAATTAAAATGAACGTCAGTAACTGTGTGTACACCATAGAGGCAAAAATAGTCCATATTCATTGTCTTTTTATTTTTTTTCCGAAGTACAGAGAAGACAAGGTCCCAAGTCCTTGAATACCAGCAAGCACATTGGGTAATCACAACATGTAGACACTTAACAACTAATAAAAGCTCTTTCCGTCAATGGTAGTGTTGGCATGCAGGTTATTACACGGTAAATAGTTCATATTAGGTCTTCACCAAAATCCTGTTTATCTTTCAAATATATGGAGGCCATTGGAGCAGCTGTACTGGCGACCTGTCCAGGGTGTACCCCGCCTTTTGCCCGATGTCAGCTGGGATTGGCTCCAGCCCCCCGTGACCCTGTGCGCAGGATAAGCGGTTGATGATGGATGGAGCAACAGGTCCCCCACTAATTGGAGCAGTGGTTCGATCCCCAGTCCGCATGTCACAGTGTGTTTGGGCAAATTGTGTGAGTGTGAATGATTAGTTTCTTTCTGATGAGCAGTGGGTAGGGATGAACAGAAGTGAAAATTCTTGTCCGAAATCCAATATAATGAAAAAAAAAATTCCTAACACCCAACAAGTACATTCACAATGTTTCCATTTATTTTGCCTTTTTTTACCATTGCATAAATGAAATAATAAATTAAAATGTGCATTCGGTGCAGTTGGCGCCTTGTATGGTATGTGTGTGAATGGGTGAATGTGGCATGTAGTGTAAAGTGCTTTGTGTTGGTCGGAAGACCAGAAACGAACGTTACAAGTAACTCCGTTTACCATTCCACTGCATTTCTTCACTATAGAAACACTAACATCTGTTAGTATCTTGTCTAAAAAGAATCCAACAACATTACAAAGTAAATATGTCATGGCTGTGCTCATTCCTGAGAAATTCTAAATTGACTTTGCCAATAAAATCATTAATAATTAATTGCATGGCTTTATCAACTATTATCTAGAATACTGTAAATATAGGTCAAATGTGTTGATATGTAATTAAGCATCAAGAAGTCAAACTGCTGCCATGTTTAATTTCTTGTACTCCTACTTGGATTAGTATCTCTGGAGTTCTATCCTACTCAGCTAGAAATGCTGGTATTCAGATTTACCAAAGGCTGTCATTTTTACTGTATTAATTAAAGGTAGATTTGTTTGTATTTTGGGCATTTGACATATATTATTACCTATCAATCTTAAAACATTAACAGCATTACAATGTCAATTGTCAAGTCAATTGCTGTTTTGTTTTAGCCCATGTATTAAGTATCTGATGACAGTTTCTAATACTGGGTTTTGAATTTATGTCATGGATGTGGCTACCCTAGCCACATTTGGAACACAGATTCCCACTATCTTGTTTTAAATAAACAAGATTTCCACAGAGAGGCACAGGTAAAATCCATTGCTATCATGCTTCAGTTCCGAAGAAAAAAATAGGCACTACTACTCCACTTCTTGGTGTTTTGGTGAATAGCATGATTCATTTGGCAGCAGGGTGACATCATCTGGGAATCATCTGAACATACCCAGGTTTGATCCCCAAGTCTTTAGCCAGCTAAAGTGTGAGATGCTGCACCTCTACCAGCTCAAGGCAGCATGATCACAACTTCCCTTCCTGTGTAGCAGCAACCCTTCCTTGGCTCAGTCATTCTAGTGTCTGTAATTGTTTGGATATATTAGCAGCCAGCCAGGATCCAGCCTGCTGGCTTGTCCAACTCAATATTTCCAAGTCTCTGAGGTGCTGATGTAAGAGGAGCAGGAGTGTGCATAAGCATTGGTACAGCATATCAAAACGCTGGTCCCAGGTCCTCAGATCCTCATTCCACTGTGTAGTACCATTGTGGTTTGAGCTTGAGAACCCAAGTTGTTGGAGCTTCACATGAGTTGTCTCCTGTCCTTTTCCAGTGTAGAACATGTAATAATGAAGAATGGAGAGCAACACATCCTGGAGTAAAGGTAAGTTTCTTCCGTCCATTCAAGCATTCACCACATCTTTAAATAAAAACATCACTGTCAGGGATATCTGTTCATGGTACCTTTTACCAGATCAGCAGATAACAAATTTCTGTGTTCCTTTATTCCCCACTGCAATAGTATTTCCTGCATCTTTTGTGCTTTTGATCACACTCCTGTTAAGGGTTCTCTTTACGCTCCTTACATTTTGTAATGGCTTGTCCGCCTCTTCACTTCTTCTTGTCCCTCTGTTTCTTGCTGCGTTTTGGCAGCGCTGCCCCTTGTTGGTGTGAAGCCACCGTGACACTACCATCAGACTCAAAATGAAGCAGGTATTCCATAGCATCCAGCGGCCTCCCTTCCTCATCCCTCAGCCTGGAAAAGACTTCCTCGTACAACGTGCCCAGTTGCCGCTTCATTTCCAGCAGATTCCTCAGGGCTTCCTGTTTCTCTCGGAGCAGCCGTGAACGGTAGCGCTTTAAACTGGACACGTTATCTTTAAGTCCCAGCAGCATGTCTAGTTTCCTCTTCCTGCAGTTCTGGGCGGCTATCTTGTTCTTACCGCGCCGTCTTATGTCCCTGATGAGGGTAAGCTGCTCCTCATTGAGTTGGTAATTGGCCAGTAGGTCATTAAACTCCTCCACTGGGAGGTTAACAATCAGCTCATTGGAGAAAGGGACTTTCAGGGCTTGTGCACGGCGTTGATCTCGGCTCCACATTTTAGTCTCGGTGATGTGTCTGGAAGACGAATGGTGGTAAGGCTTGGCGGTGTCATGTCGCAGGGAGGATTTGGTGTGTTTGGTGGGCAGCTTGCCCAGGGATGGAGAGGAGGCAGATGACCAGGGCTGGTTGTATGTGTGATCGTGGCCAATATGCTCCAGCCAAGGAAAGCCGTTAAATATCTTGTGATCCCCATAGTTGGGAGGAAAGGGTTTCGTGACATCTTCGGGGTACTCTCCTCCTACTGCCCCCATCTCCTCCTCTTCCAGCTCCTCCTGCTTTATTTTCACCTCCACTTCCATATCTGAACCAACAAAGCTTTCATCAGCATCCTCGTCTTCATAGAAGGGACTGTCCACAGCTGACACACAAGAGGAAGAGGAAGAGGAATAAGAGGAGGCCTCTGAAGCACATGGAGAAGCAGGGCTGTGGCTGAAATCCAGAGAAAGACCAGAGTCGGAGTCTGCTTCATTCTCACCATCTAGGTGGAGGGAACAAGGAAAGTTAAAGTTCTATAGTTTTATGTATGAAGTACTTGAATTTAGCACTCTTAAAATCAAGGTACATAGTTGCACATTTTGTGAAAAAGTGTTACTATAGAAGGTCTGTTTCCTCCCTGTATATTTACCTTGCTGATGTCTTCTTGGTTGACCCTGATCATCTGTGATTGCCATTCTAGAGTCTGTGTCTCTGCCAGTTTCCTGTTGAGCTGTTTTACAGTCAAGGTAGCCCTCCTCCTCCAGCCTGGCTGCCATCACAGGACTGAATCCTTCCTCCAGAGCCAGGTCCAAAAATCTAATCTCATCCTCTAAGAGGTCATTCAGTGGGCTAAAGAGATCATCCTCATCCTCGACATCCTCCTCATCAACCAAAAAGACACTGGAGGATGACATCAGAAGGTCTTGGGTCATATCATTTCCCTCCGGAGATGGGGTGAAAGGGTTTTCAGGGTAGGGAGCATACTGTGAATGTGGACTGCGTTCCATGGGATCTTCAAGACCTTGTGTTAGCAGATTTACGTCAAAGGTATTCGAATTATCTTCTATATTTAGTCCCAGGCAGAAGTCTTCTGAAGGATCTTCTGCAAGCAGATCCATGTGGTCTGGAGGACTGTGCAAGGGATTCACATTAGAGTTTTTCAAAGTGTCCCTTATGTTCAAGGCTGAACTGTAGTCATCCAACTCTGCACTGGGGATGAGTGGAAGCTGGGTTGGCTCTACCTCTGACAGTCTTGGTGGCCCCAACAAACCTAGAGACAAAGATTCGTGTGGGTTAAAGCATTGGAAACAAGTAACTGCACCTTGTGTTCAGAATCAGCTTTATTGCCAAGTTAATTTACACATGCAAGGAACCTTCAAGCCAAATTTTTGAGGAGTTGTTGAAGTGTAAGAATACTGTCCACAAATTCTTAAACAAATGTCAGCTGCTGAATGGAATTACCATGCTGCCGGGGAGTCTCTATTTGAAGGACCTCCTGATCAGCCTCTGCTATCTCATCATCATGGTTGTTGCAGTTTTGCTGTGGAACACCATGAAGGGCCCCAGTTGCTCGCAAATTTTGGGTATCATCAAATGAAGTCATCATGTCAACACCCCTGTTCTAGAGAGGAAGGAAAAAACATTGATCTCAATTTATTGAATCTCGGCTTACTCATCTAATCATTCCCTTCTTTACTTTTTTGCCAAATGTCATTTTATCTATTTTCATTCGCCCAGTCACCTCCGGCTCCATGATAGCCACCAAGTCCTGCCAGTGGAGCTCCAGGTCCAATGAAGGGTTTCCATTGGGGATAACTGGGGGCAGCATGGGCTGGGGTTGATGCTCCAGATCTCCCCCGCCAACATCACATAACTGAGAGACAATAAAGTACATAAATTGTAGCCTAAAACATTATTTGCTAACAAAATCAAAACTATAGTGGAAATTACTATCCAATACTTCTTTATATCTTTATATGTGTTGTAATTTTGTCTATATCTCAATTCTGTGGTGTGTTGTTAACCATTGAAATTAGCCTAAATGTCTATTTTAAATGGTAAATAGACTTCTAGTCCTCCGACCATGTCACATTTACCCCATTCATACACTGGCAGTGGCTGCCAGCCGATCATCAGAAAGAAAGTAATCATTCTCACACACTCTCACAGCCTTTCGGAAGACATCTGGGGTTCAGAATCTAGCCCAAGGACACTCTGACATGCAGGTTCGGTTTTAGTCATTGCAATGAGCCATACTATGCAGCTACTGTATTGATGCATGTGTGTGGTCAGTTTACTAGCTTGCTAAAACTCGTGTTTTTCTTTCAAAGAAAACTATATTTCTAATTCAAGTAATATCAAGTAACGTTTTATTCAAAACACGAAACATAATAACAAATGAATACTACACAAAGACAGGAGTAGAAATGTGCAAAAATCTTATCTTCCGAGGGTACCAAAAAGTTATTTGAAACTTCCTCTGGGTTCAGCAGCATTTCTCAAAATTGAGAAATCTGATTGGCTTACAATAAAAAGTGTAATTTATGTAACGAGGAGCTTCATTGGAAGAAATGCAGCAAAAAATGATGTCGTTTTTGTTTTATTTGACACAGAAGTTGCAATGGCCTATATGGTACATGTGCTTAATAGGGACGTTTGCCCTACCTGTTCTTCTGTAAAGGGAAAGGTTTCCTCCAACAGTCTTAAACAATCCTGTAGGGAGACAGAAGTCTGCAAATAGAGAGAGAGAGAAAGAGAAGGACAGAGGGATAGAGTTTAAGAGAGAAATGAAAACAAGGAAGTTGCGTTGCGTTTGACTTAAAGCCACTTTTCACCAGCTGGGTGACTTTCCCACTGATATCCATATCTTTTTTTATTAGCCATGTTAGCCACTTAGTCGGTGCACCACTTTGGTCCTGACAGAAATATCTCAACAATCACATGGATTGCCATGAAATTTTGGGCAGACATTTGTGATCCAAAGAGGATGAATCCTACTGACCTTGGTGGTCCTGTGACCAGTCTACTTTAAAAGATCCTCTCCAGATCTGTTTTGAATAACACGGTCTGCCATTCAAAATTCCAGAATCTATGAATATGCAAATGTATTGGAGACAAGATGTCTCCTACTTCTCTGAGAAGTCCATTCTTAAGTTTTCACATGACACCTAATTACAGATTTAAGGTGAGCACAGAGAAGCGTTCCCCGTTCAGCTGATGGATGTGAAAACAAAATCATCAAAACCTATTATTTTTATGTTTTAAAACATGTCTGAAGAAGAGCTTTCTAAGTGGTGTGAGCAAGCATGAGAGATATGGAGAGATATGGAGAGAAGTGTGAAATTGAAACTCAAGTTTATTTACATATCATGTTTCACAAAGCACGTGCTGCAGAGGGTGCATTCCGGTGTTTGATCTGCATCCATCAACCTACGGAAGCGATTGCATTTCCCCAGTATCTCCAGGCAGAGGACATTTAGGGGAATCACGTTTTCTGAGGCTATTTCAAAGGTGAGTCAAGCAGGCAAAAGACTCTTAATGTCGTTCAGAATTCTTCAAAGTAAAAGCTCTCAATTTAACTCAAAAAAATTAATTGCTACGTTTTTATTTTGTAGGCAAAACCACTAAAGAGGAAGTGATTATGTGAGTAACTGTTGCTGTCATGACTAAAGTATATTTCAACACCCCTAAAGTATTCATTTATTATTATTTTTTGCCATTATCAAAGTACCATAATCTGGCGGCGGACCACATGTAAAATACGTAACGTTAGTTGGATATTATTATTATTATTATTGTTATTCTCCAACCCTGTACTTTAGCTTTGCTAAATTTGCTGATTGAACAATGTGGAGAGGGCCCTTTATATATGCCTTGGTAAACTTTCATTGTTTGTTTTTTTTATATTGCATTGCATAGTGTGTTTAAAGTGATCATATACCAAACAACTCATCAGTGCTAATGCTGTATGCTAATAGATAAAGGAGTCATGATAAGAAACTACATGCTTTGAATTCCTTAGATATTCAAAAGCAGTGTTCTAAGCTGACCGGGTGGCATGTAACAGATGATAGAACGCTCTTTACAACCATAAGAGACTCAAATATTCTGTGTCTCCAGGAATTGTACAGTATTATCTTCAATGGAGAAAACACATTCAGTACTGTAGCATGTTATTATCACAATGAATGATGTCTTACCTGGTCTATTTCATTCTGAGTTAGCTCTCTGTTGTTAGCACGGCCGTGGGAACCACCTGGTCTTCCTCCTTCCTCTGTTCTCCTGTAATGCCTATGCATCCTGACCAGGTCTTCCTCGTTGTCCTCCTCATCCTCCACTCTCTCATCCAGAGCACCACTTGGATTAAGTACATGATGCACTGCTTCCTGGTTGCAGAGACAAAAATAAAGAATGATCTCGTCAGAGCAGCCATTATGCTGCAGGGTCTTGATCACCAGTAACTTCGGGTCTTTTGTCTTGGCCAAAAAACAGTCCAGCTTACAACCACTGCATAAAATGTCAAATTTTAATTTTTATACTACAGTATTTGTTCTTGATTAAACAAACAAGATAAAGGTAAACAAAGGTAAAGCAATAACCACTACAATATGAAACCTGTTAAGCCAGAGCTATACTGTAGCTACAGCTGCGTATTTTGTGTCCATTTGGAGTGTTGGTTGTGCAAATCCTCAGACATTAATGCTAGCATCTGCAAAATGCATTATGCACATTAACAGTAACTGGGCAGTATGGGGACGTGACAGGGTCGGGGGTCAGTAGGTACGTCGGCAGTGACAACAATGCCGGAAAGTTTTGAAGACAAGCTAATAGATCAAGACCGCAGTTACCCGCATCTGTAAGATGTGTCAGCGACAAATATGCTTGGCAAAATAACAGGCGACAGATTAGTGCTTAGATTGACAAGTCCGAGACTGTTACATCCGTGCACTGTGGTAAACGCTGTGATCTCAGAATTAACAAAAAAGTAATCAATGGTCGTTATTGTTTACATCATGCAAATCCATACGGTCTGAGTTCTCTGGTGTGCCCTGTGATGGAATCTTACACCCATAGTACTTAGGCAAGTATGTGAACAAATGTGTTCACAACACAACCAGTTGTCTACAAGAATGTGTGGTTAAAAAGCAACCACATCTCCAGCTACGTGGACTGCTTTCTAAAATGCAAAGAAAAACTCCAGAGTTTGATGATTACTACTTTACTGTAATAAATATTCAACTCTAATATACAGCAACATATGATAAAATTCATATTCAACAACCACAGATCCCATGAGGCTTTGACAACATGTCAGTGGGGAGGCCACATGGGACACGTGTGGGAATTTATTGAGACAGGTTAGGCTTGTTCAACCACCAAAACCTATGATCACATTGTAGGGGCTGGTATCTTTTGGACATGTATTTAGCATATGTTATTAGTTAATAGAACAATAAAAGCAGGCATGCAAAGTTACAACAGAAAAAATATTTCTCCATTATATTCTCCTTTATGGTGACCATGTGAATGAAAGACAGATTTAACAGAAACAAATAGTTAATAGTTATGAACAATTCTGTTCACAACGTAGCCAGTTGTCTACGAGGTGGTTAAAAAGCAAGACAGGCAGCCAACTTCAGGTTTGGTTTGTGAAGTGTGGTATGGTGGAGTGGAGATGAGGTTCTTGGTAATTAAGGTGCAGTTACAACTGTTGGGCACTCCCAATGTGCACCCCCCAAACATGACGGTGCATCATGGCGGACTCTGTGCCTAAGGGTGGAGGTGGAGGTGGGCCTTTTGAAATGCTACATGAACAGCAGCTACTGACAGAATAGCTTTAAGGTGAAAGGTGTGGCAGCAAGCACATAGACAATGAAGGAGCTGAGTACTGCGGTACTTAAGTACACCACCATGAGTAAAAAGGTGTGTTGCATTTATTATTCAATGAGAAAATTATGCCGTGAGCGTAGTGGGAGACTTCGGTTGGCCACGTGAAGATGCTAATCAAACCCTGTTCTTCAGAATGAATATGTGATCCAACAGACTGACCCTGAGGACCAGGAGACTAGCATCGAGAAAGCGAACAGAGTGAAAAAAATGTTGGAAACCTAATATTCAGAGCAGTCTGAAGCCTGAGCTTTGTGGTCACAGGGATTCATTTTACATACATATACCTCATTTTTTATTACTTTGGACACATTTAGTACGAGCATCTGACATTGTAACCTTAAAAAGCATAATAGATCCCCTTTAATCTAAACAGCTGATGCCACTTGGCACAAGCAGGATTTCCTGTTTTCCTCCTGCAACACAGCTGAAAACGCAAATACAAATTAGCACAGCAGGCATTGGTGTACATTTGTTTACATGCCTGCTCCTTTGGCTCTTTGCATGAGTGTGTGTGTGTGTGTTGATGCAGTAAACAGGGGTCATTGCAAAACTCAGGGATGTGAATGTGTGTCAGGACGCATTAAGCCAGTGATCAGGTTTCAAAACAAGCCCGTCAGTCACGAGGCCAGGAGGAAGCTAGTAATGCGTTTTTTCCGTGTGTGTGTGTGTGTGTGTGTGTGTGTGTGTGTGTGTGTGTGTGTGTGTGTGTGTGTGTGTGTGGCTGCCATGCAGATGTACTGTGTAGGCATCCAAACTGTTGTAAAATGACTGATCTTCATCTGTATCTCCTAACAACAAATTGAAATACCTCTATCCTCAGATATATTGATACTACTATCCCACTATGATCATCGTTTCACTGTAGTGGTTCCATGGTGTAATGGTTAGCACTCTGAACTCTGAATCCAGCGATCTGAGTTCAAATCTCAGTGGAACCTGATTTTGGGCGGCAGTAGCTCAGACAATAGGGACTTGGCTTAGGAACCAGTGAGTCATATGGAGTGTGGTCTGGTACTTGGGGACGTGCCAGTTCACCTCCTGGACACTGCCGAAGGTGCAGTACAAGGCCCTACACCCTTAATTGCTCATGGCTCCAGCTACATGGCATCCCACTCGCTCCGACATCTCTCCGTACTTTAATGCATGTGTATAGGTCATGTTTGTGTGTGTCTGTGTATTTCGGACCTGTGTGTGTATAATAATAACCACAGTGGCCAGATTGCTCTGATAGCAGAAAAATAAAAAATAAATAAATTGATAACGGCTGGTGCTGAAATAGATCTCAGTCATGACAGCAACAGTTACTCACATAATCACTTCCTCTTAAGTGATTGTGCCTCTAAAATAAAAGCGCAAGAAGGTCTTTTGCAGCTATGCTTTATGTCGAGTTCATTGAGAGCTTTTACTTTGAAGAGTTCTGAAGGACAATTCAAAAGAGGCTCTGGCTTGACACACCTCTGAAAAAGCCGTCAGTAAACGTGTGATGTGATTCCCCTGAATTTTCTCAGGGAAATGAAAATAAGTGTCCATAGGTTTATGAATGCCGATCAAACGCTGGGACGCACACGCACTGCAGCACATGCTTTATTGTGAGCATGTGCAAAGGTGTCCTTTTATTCAATTTGTTTAAAAAGGGAGAAAAAAATGCCTGCAGGAAGTTGGAGTCGTTCTTACAACCTAATTAACAGGAGCCCCGCACAGTACCCACTGAGCTAAACGTGCATATGATTTGAAATAATTTGACTTTGTCAGTGGCTCGCCATATAACGTCTTGAAAGAAAATGGGCTTATTTGCCGACCCCTGCCTTAGAGAGCTCAATAAAGTTGTCTTTATTACCACACATTTGATGGTGTATCTATATAAATACTACCAGAAAGAACGTTTAAGGGATGACAAACACCTGTTGCTGGTAAATGTGTGGACAGGTCCAGACTGGACATGTAGGCCAGTATGTGGGCTATTTATATCTTGTACAGTCTGTTTGTTAGCAGCACCGGCCTATGTGTTGTGTCTGAGTGGGTGTTATGTTGTGTCACAGTGTGGTTTGCGTGATCCTACATATAGCGATGGAACTTGTTTTTTTGTCAGCTCTGCCCACTTCTTTGCATCTAGAATCTGCTGAGAATCATAAATCATAAAAGCTTGCTAGCTTAGTCTAAATCCTACTACAGTCTGAAGAAAAGACTTCCACTTAACTCTCCGCTGTGAACTGCAATTCTAAAGGCTTTTCAGTTTCAACATGTCTGAGTGAAGGATCTGACTGCCAGGTGATGTATATGCTGGAGTCTGTCTTACAGTCCAAAGCTTGACCAGGCATGTCTGAGGTGCTGCCATTAATAAATGGAGCTCACAGTGTAAGTTCATACAGGCAAGAACATGAAGGCAGTGGTGCCACCCAGATCAGATGATCAGCATCAGTGGGCAGCCGAAAATGCTGGAAAAACAACACCTGCATGTTATCCATATAAAGTTGTTGTGCTAAAAGTGTAAGCAAACAGTTGTCATGACATAATGAGAGCATAGAGAGTCAAAACTTCATACCGAGAGATGCTAAAATGCTGCATATAGCTGAGGCAAACTGCAGAGCTGTATGATCATTTTCTGTGGGTTCATCACTATGAGCAAGTCCTTTCACAATACATTCATTTGACCCATTATTAATGGTCAATGATGGTCTTACGGCACAGTAAGAGAGCACACATTTTTTCTCACTACAAGCAGGGTACTGTTCAGCTGTGGAATCCTTTCTTCAAACCTAGACATTTTGGATTTTGCATACAACAAGCAGTAACCGGTTTACTGAGGTGTAAACACAATCATTAAAAAAAAGTCTGTGACTCCCAGGCGACTTTGTGCGTGTTTATTTAAAAGGTGTGTTCTCTTCAGCAGGGTGTTTCTACTGTATTTCAACTCTGCTGATCACATTGCTTCATTTTCCTGGCGAGGTCATCTATGGTTCCTGGTGAGTCAGCTAACTCTGACTCATTATCTTACATGACATTACACTCAGTTTAAGTGACAGTCAAAAACAAAAACGGCACTCCTCTGCACATGACTCATTTATATATAATTAAATAGCTGTGTCTTCGGTTCTGCTTTTAAATCTTTGCAAGTGTCTGAATTTTATCGACTGCTGAAAGGGCTGTGGAAACCAGACAATTTTGGCCTCTTAAAGAAATGATTTTACATTTAAGTATCAGTTCTGGTTTAATCAGACTGCTCACGAGCTCTTGTAAAAAGCTCTTCAGTCTGGTTTCTAAGGCAGTAATCTAGCTGTTTTTCTTGAAGTCCTGGACTTCCTAACTGATTTTGTTGGTCATTTGGGGCCTGCTGAACCTACCTGTGAACACAATGTAATCATCTTTTAGTTATTAGCAGGCGTTTGCCTGATTTGCAGATACCGAGCAATATTCACATTAATTTGGAGTCATTTTTTGGTCTCCACCAACTCCTCATTAGCTGCTAAATGCTCTACTACTGCATGTTCACCAGCTAGTCAGCAATTAGCATCTAAAGTGCAGTGGTCTGTTGGGTTTGATCTATGGTATAAACCATGGCATGTATTCCCTTGTTTCCATTAACGCTTGCTTTACACGCTGAATGTCCGGTGTGGAACCATCACGTTAAGGTGTCGGTGCTTTTAATGAAGCCCTCTGTGAAACCCTCGGTGGCACCTTTCAGATATTGGAATCAGGGGGGCTACATCTAACTTAAGTCTCCACTTCTGATGCCACTCAAGAACAAGTTAAAACATAAATTCTAAATGTTCACACACATTGAATGAAACAGCTGTACCTCTTTATCCTCCTCCTCTTCTTCCTGCAGGGTACCAGGTCCGGCTCTGGATTCCACAGGTGGGGCGGTTCGGTCTCTCTCTACCCCAGCAGGTGCTCTCTCCCGTAGGGAGGGCTGGTCTGGACATCCCACAGGGAGAGGATCTGGCTCCCGCTGGACCAGCCACGTCTCCAGCTCTGCATTAGGAACCTGTGGAGAAAGGTATGAAACATTTCACAATTCAGTGTTTACTAAGTGGTATTCCTACCAAAGAAAGGATCCTACATGAGCTCACATGCTCCTTATCTATAAAGCAGGGGAGCTTGTGGGAGGTAAACACAAATTTGGAACTATGACAACATTTTATCAGGGAAAAGAACATCCAATAATAGTGTCTTATCTTTATGACCACCTTTTATCCCAAAAAACATCTACAACTCCAGGAATGATAGTGCGGGCAAGAGAAATGTCTACTTAAAAGAAGAGTTTGACATTTTAGGAAATACATTTATTCACTTTCTTGTCCAGAGTTAATTAAGAAAATTAATGCCACTCTTGTGTCTATAAGCTGAATATTAAGCTACAGCCAGCAGCTGGTTAGCTTAGCTTAGCATGAAGACTGGAAACAGGGAAGCAGGACTTCCTGCTGTCAAAGATTGTGTTACCTTTGGATAGAGCCAGGAATAGACTTTTTGGGAAAGACGTGTATTCATTTTTTTTTTTTTGCCAAGCGTTAGGTGAGAAGATTAATACCACTCTTACATCTGTACTGTATATATGCATTTGGAGCCAGCAGCTGGTTAGCTTAGCTTAGCATAAAGCTCAACAGCTCTGCTCAAAGCTAACTAAATCCACCTACCAGCACATCTTAAGCTCACTGATTAACGTAGAGAGTAAGAGTAAGAATGACACTTTATGGTTTTACGAGAGTTACATTTAATTATCAGTTAAGTTCTGTGTGTGTAGCATGAACGGACTACAGACTTTCTTTTTGTTATACAACCTTGTCTAGTATAATGATAAATAAACCACCTTGTACGTAGTTATGGGCAGGACTATTTCTTGGCCAGGAGCAGTGACTTCCTGGAGTCTCCACTGGTTGTCTGGCTCCTGATGCTTTGAGGCGGAATTTTGTACCTTTATTGGTACCTTTGGCCAGAGGCAGGTGAGCCGTGTCCCCCCTGTCTTCATGCTAAGCTAAGACAACCAGCTGCCGGCTCTAGCTCTATATTTACAGTCCCGATACGACAGTGGTATTAATCTTCTCATCTCACGCTAAAGAAAATGAATAGGCATTTTTACTTAAATAAAAACGATTCCATTAATTCCAAAAATTACATTTTTAAGAGCCTCTTTTAAATAGATACTTTACATACATAGGTACTGTTTGTACCTTTCCCACAGGAAGCCTTTGTCTCCTGCCAGGCCATTATTGTAAATAAGAAACTGTTTTTCCTGGTAAAATAAAGGTATAATTTAAAAATATCTTAATTCCGTCTGAATAGGACCATATAGATAAAGACACAGACATGTTTTCCTACCTGTAGTCTGTCCAGAGAGCGGACCCAGCCCAGCAGCCTCCGTGTCGTGAAGAACCCATCCAGGTCCACATTCTTGGGGTGCAGGCCGTGGGCTTCCTCCATGCGGTTGCGAAGGTTGTGGAACTGCGTCTGGGTCAGCGCAGAGGTCGGACCCAGGATCATCTCGTGCCAAGAGGGAGGCAGGTAGGGCTCCAGTCCCACATCAACCCTCACTCCACATAGGCTGAGCAGGATGGCCATCTGGATGAGGCCCTCCGTAAAGTATTTCTTTAGGTGCAGCATGGTCTTTAAGTCAGAAGACGTGCAAAGGGTCCAGGGCTCAGCTCAGTCACCAACACAATGAGGGTCTATTCTGTCGTAGCGTGCTTGGGCAAAGAAGTCCCTAGAAGATCTGTTAGACCTCCCCAGGGAAGGGGAGGGGAAAAAAAACACAAATCCCCCCTTCCTCTCCAACAACAAAACAATTCTCAAAACTGTCCTGGGTAAAAAATAACCCGGATGGGAAATTCTTTACTTGCTCTTGTAGGAAAGACTTAATAACTGCTATGGCATCTTGTGTCTGTGTAAACGTTTTTTATCGGCGCTGATATAAATATCTAGAAACAAAGACTGACTGTGAAACTTTCCCGTTCTTACAGACTCATCCAAAGCCTGTTGGTCTTCATGGAAACGTTTCTTCCTGTGAACGAAGAGAACAGCTTGCTTTAGAGGAGAAGACTGACTACACAAATAATATTAATATTACCAAATATTAAACAAGTTATTGCAAATATAATTTGGGATTTTAATATGCGTAATGTTTTGAACTAAGTGTACTTTCCTCTTAGAGCTGCTAACTACAATTTTCTTTATCGATTAATCTGAATCATCATTTGATTTATAAAATTCCTGAATATAATCAACAATCCAAAACCCAACGATATTAAGTTAACGATCACATAACTGTTCATGAAGCTTGAACTACTGCTCTCACTACTAATATAGATATATACCTATAGATATTGCTAATATAACACTACAGCACAATAACATTGCCACCACTGTACTAATGACAAGAAGAACGGCACTACAGTTCAACACTAATCTTCCACTGTCAGTGTGGCCTGACCTACAGACTATGGAGGCAGCAGTTGAGAGGTTTGACAGTTTATGTGAGGAGATAAGGCAGACAGACACACAGATAGGGCAGAGCCGGTCTGTATTACCACTCTCAGTAACTTCGACCTCATTCTAGAAAGGGTTTGGTAACCACCAGCCTGCCCCGCACTGCCTCACTGCAGCCACATGATGTAATTGCCAGTGTTTGCTTGGCAAAACCCTCTCCCTGTCTCCTCCCTCCTCCCAAACAGTGGGTTTACTTTTCATGCTATGGTAACCTGTTTACAGAAGCTGCAGTGGAACAGCTGACTAGAACTGGAGTTTGAAAACTTTTCAGCACCATCTTAAGACCCAGGGATATAAATAACTACATAGACTACTAATTTTTATAGTTCAGTGTAGTGTATGGTATCTTCTACTACATGGTCTACTCAAGTATAATTTTGTACTGTGTGGTCTAGAGGACATAAGGGTCTAAGTATTGCTACATGGCAACAAACTATACTGTATTGTAGTTGTACTGCTGTACTGTATACTTTATTTTATTTTGTTGTTTTTCATCTGTTTACATTTTATGGATTTTATTTTATTCCCGTCAGTGTTACATGCTGTTTGTTTTATTGAACTATCAGATGAAAAGTGACAATTTTCCATCTTAGTGAAAAATAAAAGTTTTATTCTATTGTATTCATTTAGAGTAAAAGTCTTGTGTACTCTGGCCTAACACTAATGTCATATAAACTAGCAGGATATGGTATAATAGGCTGCAACTGATGTGTAAGTGAATTAAGTATTCATATACTTTAATCATAAACGTAGCAATACCATACTACTATTGAATATGCTCAAAGTGTTAAAGTTGTAGTTAGTAGTAAAAAATCAAAAGTAAAAGTAACACTGTTGTCGTGTTTTGCTCTCTGCGTGAGATTCTATCTGTACATCAGCCAGAACAACAGGTTACACAAGGTTTTCTTGCAGATAGCCCACTGAACTGACAGCTGTAACACATTTATGACAGGGAAGCTCCAGAAATATCACGCAACGTTTTGACTCAATGCAGAAATCACTGCCACACCGCTGACAGTAAAATCCTTTAAAACCTAGACTGTCCACTCGCAGGAAATCAAAGATAGGCTACAACAGGAATATTATCGCGCTCCCGCGGGCGATTGTAAACTTTTAGAAAGCCATCTGAGTTGATGTGAGTTTTTAAGAATACCATAAGAATGTAATAAGAATGTGTCTCACCTTGCTGAGTGTTGAGCCGCGTGTCAGGGTCTCAGTTTCTGTCACACTGTCCCGGTTTCAGTTGCTGTTCTGGCAGACCGTGAGGGTGGGACCTTTTTAAAAGCGACACCCGTGTGTGTGCTGACGTATAATAACTCCTCCCATGGAACAAAAAAAACAAGCGTGGATATGGTGTGTTTTGCTCATGTCAGGAGGACTCTGTGTGTTGTGAGGCAGTTTTAATATTTGTGTGTGTGTGTGTGTGTGTGTGTGTGTGTGTGTGTGTGTGTGTGTGTGTGTGTGTGTGTGTGTGTGTGAGACCGACTCTTACAAGTAAAAGTCCTGCATTCAAAATCCTACTTAGGTAAAAGTACATGATGCTTCATGTAGTGTCAGCAGTAGGCCATTATGATATCTGACATTAGATTATTAATACTGATGCATCAAGTATAAGCTGGTTGAGGTGGAAGTAGTTTGAACTACTTTTGTATTCAATTAACTAGTTTAGTCCAGTGGTTCCCAACCTAGGGGTCAGAACCCTCAAATGCTCTCAAGATAGTCTGAGGTGTTGTGAGATGACTAAAGGGAGAGGAAAGAATAACAAATACACACATCTGTTTTCAGTTTTTTGACTTTTAAAAAAATCTTTTATTTGTTTGTGAAATAATGGATAGGATATTTGAATTTTTTTTTAATTAAACCATGTGAGAAGTGTAGATGGGAAAAGTCTCTTTGGTGGAACTGCTAACAACTCATAGAACCCCAATATACTTGCCTTTTAACAATGAACTAGCGTAGACAAGCGTCTGCGACGCAAACAGCATTGTTCACATACTTGCCTGCGTACTTTGCGTGTACCTGGAGCTTTAAACGTTAATCCACCAGGGGGCAGATCAGGGCCGGATCATCCCTCGCAGACACCAGATTGCTGTCCTTGACAACCTCTGAATTTGCACATCGCAAACAAACCAAACATAGCAACACTCACGGAGGTTATGATTTTATTGAGACATTATAGCAATCTCGGTAATTGCGGACTAGCTCCAGGAGTTTTATTGTAAACAGGCTGTTGGCAAACCAGCTGCATACCGCCACCACCTGGGCTGGTGTGTGGAACAGTAGATTGCTGCTGACCTGAGTAGCATGTAGCTGCAGTACCGGAGGCTGCAGTTTCAGGACCGCAATCCTAGGACCGGAACTGCAGTTCCAGGACCCTTTTTTACTTTGATACTGCCAGCTAGCTGACTGGCTAGCTAGCTAGCTATGTTAGTCTTTACAGCCCCCGAAGCCAATTACCCTTACCACAACCACCACCAAGTGTGTGCCTAAACCTAAGTTATTGATTATATGCATGTTGACCAGTTAACCCTACAGCTGCACACATCGGTCTCACGGCCAACGTGCTAGCTGACAGGGCTAACCTCCTTCGGGTTGCTGTGCATTACCACCACCAGTCCACTAGATGGCGCTGTCGCAAAAGAACTAGAACTGCGGTCCCAGGATTGCAGGGGTCCTGAAACTGCAGCCTCCGGTACTACAGCTTCATACTATTGGAAACTGTAGCCCCCAGTACTGCAGCTATATAATACTGGCTGACCTGCCTGTCAGGTCGACATACTGCCCCTACGTTCATGAGCTGAATTGCATCTTGCGGATGCGTAGCGTTAATTTCTGGAGGCGCACACAACCTATGCTCAAAAGGAACGCAGGATAGGCGTGGCAGCCATCTTGTGTACCCGACATCGTAGGCAAAAGTAAGTAAATCCAGGGCTATAGATATGATGAAACATGACAACAGACCTCAACTACAATTAGTAAGAGGTCATAGTCACTATTAAATAAATGTTGTGAAGTAGAGAATACAGTGTTTGCCTGTGAATTGCATACCTCAAATTTGTGCTTAAAGCCAGAGTGTGGGACTTTTCATATAAAAAAAAAACGTTGAATGTTACATTCAAGCTCTTGCTTAGTTCACACAATGCTGATTAAGCCTCTTAGCGCCAGGTTTAGCTCTTTGTATTTGCAACAATGTTTTTCAATCTGGTGTCTGTGGTGATGTTAAGGGACTGACCACACAACCCACATTACATACTTTGACTTTCCTGTGTATCCATATGTCCATCTTAGCTGTTGTAGTGGCCACACTTAAAGCCACTGAGGGTTGCATAGACAAGTCTCTAATTGACACGCTCGCCCAGCCGCCATACGCTACTAGTGTCATACGAAACAAAGTTGTTTGCACTTGCCGTTTTGTTTGAATTCATTATTCAATGATGACGGTTTTCAGGTAAATACAATAATCCATAATGCAATCCACTGAATCTTACACTTTTCCATACTACACTTGTACAGCTTGCCCAGCGTAGCGTGCCAAAGCGAAGCTGTCAAAAAACTATAAGTGTTCACCTCCATCCAGCAACACCTGTCACCTGTGCAAAGGTTCCTACTTAAATTACATTTGACCCAAAACAGACAGGAACCACCTACTGGCCCACTTCAGTACTGCCGCCAACACAAAAAACCCCATAATTGGCTGTTACACCACTCCTTACCTGCTCTTCCAAGCTGACCTCAACAGAGTACCTCACTAAACGGAACAACGATACCAAAGACATGAAAGCCCATTACTGCCAGGAAAAGAAAAATATTGACTGAATGTTAGAAAAGACAAAAATAATAGTAGTCTAATCATTCAAAAATCAGTCAAAATTACATGACACTAAATCAAGTCAGAAGTATGAGATAATCAGAATTTCAATTTCCTGAGTTAAATTAATTAGATAGTAATTCAAAATTATGACTTACCATACCATGTCCCAGCTTTGTGATTTTCTTACTTATTAAATATGATAAAATATTTCATAATTTTGTCAATTTTGATTTGTAGTTGAGTAGTAGACTATTTTAACCATCATTTTAATGTAGTCGTATGTAAAAATCTTCAATCAATTGTCCCACAGGTATGATTTGCTGTTTCAAAATAAAAGTATTCAAGAAATCTGAATTAGTATATCAAAGTTTTATTTGTTTTAATTGAAAAAGGAGAGAAGATAACTATTGATACCCGTTGTTGAAGAACTATACAAAGAGATTTGTGTGCATTTTAGAGTTTTTCAATATGTTTTTTAGACACCAGTGTCTTTAACCCTTGCATGCATGAATTATTAAATCACAAGGTATGTTTGATTTTACTTTCAAATCAGTGAAAAACTTTGCCTGTAAAGGTGTTTCCCAATATATTTAATTTTTAGTTTAAATACACATACAATTATAATAATAATAATAATAATCCTTATTTGTAGAGCACTTTTCAAAAACAATTATTTAAGTACAAATTACATCATTTTAAATAAAACATACAAAATAAGGCAGAATATAGCCTTTAGTGCAGAACATCCACTGGAGTGGAAAGTGAAAAAAAAATGTTCTTGTTGAAGTTTTATAATAAAGGGATAAATAAATAAAGGCATTTTACAATTATTGCTATGGTACTTGGCGCATCTCTACTCCCCTCCCTTATTTTGAATTTATGATGCAGTATATCAAAGTGACAGTGATGTAAAAGATAATAATGAAATGTAATTGCTTTGTGGTCTGCACGTGATTGTGGAGACATGGCAAATGGAGCTCCAGCCAGCCAGGAGAACTTCTGAGAAGAAGTCAACAGAGCTGAGGTAAGAATTTTTGATAAATTAGCAAGCAAATAAGACAAGAGACCAAATAGAATAAAAAAAATCATCCATAACCCTCATGATAAATTCATATTTCCATGGACTTATAATCATTGTTTTATCTGATGGGCTTGCTGCGTTGGCATTTGGCCATTGTGCCCTCAAAAAACTGACCAAAAGAAATTGTTTTTCTATGTGTCTGTTCATCCACTATTGTTGTTTATATTGAAATCAATTTGATCTACAGTTTAAACACAGTCACACCATAGGATAATTAATTGTCACCAATTTATCTATTTAGCTGCATGTCTTTGGATGTGCTCTGGAGAATCTGGAGAGGACATGCAAACTCCAGACAAGGTCTGTAAGTAGACTGCAGAGTCTTGAGCTGAGGAGTTGGCCCTTCTGTGTTGAGCCATGTGTTACAAACACAACATCCCTGTGTTTTTTAAACCCAAGAACACACTAAGACAGATGCTGGTCTACCCCAAAGACCGCACACCCAAACACAAGAAAAGCAATCTAGTGTATGCGGTCCAATGCAGTGAGGAATGCACAGACCTGTATATTGGAGAGACTAAACAACCACTACACAAACGCATGGCTCAACACAGAAGGGCCAACTCCTCAGGTCAAGACTCTGCAGTCTACTTACATCTGAAGGACAGAGGACACTCGTTTGAGGACCACCAGGTGCACATTTTAGACAGAGAAGATGGATGGTTTGAAAGAGGTGTCAAGGAAGCATCTACACCCGGGTTGAGAAGCCGTCATTGAACAGGGGGAGGGGGTCTACGCCACCACTTATCCCCCACTTACAATGCTGTCCTTTCATCACTTCCCAGGAAACTCAACAAACGTAACCTATTGGCCTCAGGTGAAGATACCAACGATGGTTGTTCAGTCTTGGCCACAGGTAGTCTTAACGACTGTAACGACTGTCGTCACAGCAACAAGGAACACTAACGAACCAGCGGTATCGATGACCCGGGCCAACGACCCCACTGAGGTTAAATAGCTGAGTTTCCCTGCCAGTCAGTCAGAACTGAAGAAGTCCTTTGGATGAGGGACGAAACGTCTTCCAGTATCTTCAACCAAGTCCAGTTGCCCTTGATTTTAACTTTCGTTGGATTACTCTGTTAATAAACTCGCTTAGTGCAGCTGGTGTTTGTCTCCATCACGATTGGATTTACCCACTGTCTCAGTTATGTGGAATGAAACAATGAATTTTGAAGATGTTCATTAAAAAGATATTTTTAAATTTTATTTACTGATAGATAAATTATAATTATAAATTTAGTTTTAGCTTTTGATAAGGCTAGCCGTGGCTCTCTCACCAGCCGGCTTTTACTTGATAAAGCTCTGCTGCTTTAGCTCTCTAGTTGGCTGTTTTTGTGTGACAGAATAACTGCACTTTTTTTTTTTTAAATGCTAGGAATTCAAAACATAAGATTTTGATCTGAACTCAATTTTGGTTAAATGTGTTGTGTGCTGTGACTTTAGCTAGCAGCTAGATACATAGAAAGTCCATACACACTGCAGTACAGCATTCATTTTTTATTTAGAAAACGTGTTATAAATAATGTAACTACCAGCTTTTGGCAAAACAGTTAAAGACATGGTGTTGGTTAATCAAAATTTTAACATTTAGCTGAATAGAAGGCAACATTGAACATTCAGTCATCACTTGTAAAACTTATGTCATTCAGAAATGTTCTCCTCTCACTGAACATTCAGCAAACGCTTAAGACTTACAAAGTTTAACAAAAAGCTTTTCTTTCAAAAAGTGTTTTTCCTGACTTGTCTTTAGTGATGCAGGCCCAAGAGAAACCACAAATAGGGCAGGCTGCTCTAGCAGCTAGAGAAACACGTAACAGAAGGGTCACATGTCCGAGGCCCATTAAAGCCATGTTCCCTGCTTCCACTGCCCACTGTCATGTGGTTGTGGATAAGTACATGAACGAAATGTCTAAAACATCATTGTACTGGCTAATTATCAAAACTACTATGGCACAAATCAAACCACTTAACAAGGTTATTTGTTTCTTCAGGGCACTGAAGCTAACACAGTCAACTATAACTATATGATAATCAAAAATGCACACATAAAAGCAAAAGCTTGCATCCTCGGCGTTTTATAAATCTGTCTGTGGAACATCCAAGGAATGAAAATAACACAGAGAAAACCGACTTTCATGAACACGGAATGCAGGGCTATGTTCCCACATACAAATGTTTAAAACAGGTTTCCCCATGTCTTTATGTTAGGTTTAAACAATGAAATACAATGCACAGTCCCCAAAACAGGCAGCTAGTATACAATAAAATAGCTTTCAATTAGTCAAATACCTTCACTCAGCTCAGTACAAAATTAATTGCTATAAAACTTCTTCCTTCATAGTAGTGTTTCCCAAATTTTCCTTCTAAGAACAACACAGGTCTTTTTTACATTTCTCCAAAGAACAGCGGTCCTGCATTAGGTCTACAGAACAGGGAACCAATCATGTACTGTAAATTACAGGGCTGGACAACCACCACTGGTGTCTGAAGTGGACTGATGTGTTAAGGTTTATGGAACATAAGCAAGGTTTTATATCCCATTTTCAATATTGGTTTAGTTGGTGGTGATTGTTGACTTGTCAGAAAATCTTTATTATTGATAAACAATAATTAACAAGAGTAAGAGTCTACAGAAACGCTTACAGCTCTGTGAGGCTGTATACAGGCACAGCAGTGCTTTGAGCTAAATGCCAATGTCAAAACATTTCCATGCTCACGGTGGCAATGCTAACAAGCTGATATTTGGAAGCTACTGTTCAGCATGTTCACCATCTTAGTTTAGCATGTTAGTAAGCTAACATTTGATAGCATTACATGTCATTCATTTTGCAGGCATAGAGACCCTGAAACTGGAACTTCCAGGTTCTGTTAGAGAAAATGCAAATTACAAAACACCCCTTAGCTCTGTTCACCCCATATGTCTGAATATGGGTAAGGGTAAACAAAAAAAAAGTACTATTACATGAAAAAAGATATTAGAAGAATGCACGAGTAGATATTGTGAATATGGCCTGAAATAATTACCTGCAAAGCTGTGCTGGTAAATTTTAATGGGAGCTATATTTGTGATTTAATTTTTTAAAAGCTAGTGCAGTTTTCAGAAAGAATGCTGAAAGAAAACCTTAATGCCTCCGTCTATTTAGCCATAAACCAAAATATTGGACAAATGGAAATGTTGACCTGATGATCTTGCTAGAAATGGTGTGCCAATCCATCTGGTAGATGTTGATATATTTATTTGGATTATTGAAAACTTGACATAATAGAAGATAGAAGAACACTAAAGTCAGTAGACTTATTCACTTGGTTCAGTAGAGATACTCCCAGTTGCCAGCACTGGAAGATTAGGCAACTCCCAGTGACGAGCAGTGGGGACTATGATGGGCAGCTCTGTGAGTGAAGCCTTTCATTCTACATAAATACAGTCTTAGAATTGTGCTAAGTGAAATGATTATTTTAAAACACTGGATTTGTTTTCTTCATATAGGACTTACTTCACCTCATTTAAACATGTAAGTCACTTTTCAATGTAGCACAAAGTAATGTAAACAATAAATGAAAAAAAAAGTTAATGCACATCACGTGTGTCATGATTGTGGTCCTGCCTGTACTGTATCACCTCCATCTGCTCTGCTATATATGTAATTGGTCATTGGATCACTGAAATTTCCAACATGATTTTTCATCAAATCAAATTAAGATCCTCCAGTAGGATGAGAAATATACGTTCTTTCCAAGGCTGTTTGGAGATTTTGGTGGCAAAATCTTGATAAAAGGAAGACTGCTTCACCGACAAACAATTCAAGATTTCAACAATTATGGACCTGTTAGAAACTTTGGTCGGTACAGTGGTACTTTTTTGTACATTTTGCTCTGTATTTACAGTATGAACATATTTACTTGCATGTTACACTGTTGTTCCACATGAATAAGATTTTCTCTTTACACTTGCTATGGTGAGAGAATTAGTACTACAACTACCACAACTATGGCACAGTATCAATACTTTGGTTTCCCACTGTTGCATATACACTGCATATGCGTACTCAGACAACCCATTCTCACTCCCAAGTTGTCACATATGGACGCATGGTCAAGACCCGTTGCCGTCATAGTTCAACACACTGTGGAAAGGCCTGTGTGTCACTTTTGAAGTCTAAGCGTAGGTGTAGGATATTTAACAGAAAATTTGGAGTAAGTAGGTGGTTGGGTGGAGGGTCAGACACCAGACTTTCACCCAGGAGACCAGTGTTTGTTTCCCGTGTTAAACACATCCACAGGGGTGCCCCAAGGCTCAGTGCTAGGGCCCCTTCTCTTCTCAATTTACACCACCTCCCTGGGGCCGATCATTCGCTCGCACGGCTTCTCTTACCACTGCTACGCAGACGATACGCAACTCTACCTATCCTTCCCGCCAGGCGATCCCACCTTCTCGGCGCGGATCAAACCTCTCTAAGACTGAAATCTTGGTCATTCCAGCCAAGCAATCTATCCACCATAACATCACACTACAAATTGAATCCTCAACCATCACTCCAACCAGGGTGGTGAGAAACTTGGGTGTCATGATTGATGACCAGCTGTCCTTTTCAGACAATGTTGCTGCTGTCTCTCGGTCATGCCGCTTTGCTCTATACAACATAAGGAAAATTCAGTCAGTAGTCAGTCCACCCAGCTTCTGGTACAGGCCATGGTTATCTCTCGGCTCAACTATTGCAATGGTCTTCTAGCAGGTCTTCCAGCTTGTGTGGTGAAACCCTTACAAATGGTTCAGAACGCAGCAGTGCGTCTGGTTTTTGATCAGCCCAAAAGGACTCATGTCACTCCATTACTCAGTGATCTCCACTGGCTCCCTGTGACCTCCAGAATCAAATTCAAGTCACTAATGCTTGCATTCAGAGTGACTACTGGGTACACAGTGACTACTGGGTCTGCACCCATCTACCTAAACTCCATAATACAAACTTACGTTCCTTCTCGGCCGCTACGCTCCCCCAACGAACTCTTACTTCCTTCCCTAGGTATTTAACCCATTGATGTGATATGTACTATGAGCTCTTACTAGTATTTATTGCTGCTCTTACTAGTATGTATTGACAATTGTAGATCTGTATTTGATGCTATGTTGATGCCTGTATGTTGTCGCTTTGGATAAAAGCCAAATGAGTAAATGTAAACCTAACCAAATCGCAATGTTAACAGCATGCCGTTTCAAAATTGCTACGTTAACTGTTAAGTACTTTTATTTTGAAAGTGTAACCGGATGTTGCATATGTATTGTTGCTAACTTGACAGCGGCCCTAAAGGGGTACCCAGGGTGTTAAAAAGCAGGGTAAAACCAAATCGTCCATATGTGACGAGCTGGGAGTGAGAATGTCTTGACTAAGAAGCTGGAGGGCTTTGCGTAGCAGAGAGAAGATACTGATGGAAATTATTTATTTCTGTTTGATGAGAGATATAGATAGATAGATAGATAGATAGATGTTCATAATTTTATGAGAAAAAGTCATAATATTTTTAAAATACAGCTGTAATTTTACATTTTACAATATTATATTATTATATTAAATAAGTACTTAAGTACTAACATTATAATCCCAGAAAAACTCAATATTTAAAAAGTAAAGTGATAACTTTACAAGAAAAAGTTTAAATTTCATCAGATATTCAGAATCTTTCAAGAAGGAAAGTTAATTAAAAACGTTAAGTCATACCATTTCAAGAACAAAGTTGGAAAATTAGAAGATTTTAATACTCCATTTTAGTATCAAGTTATTAAATTTAAAACCGGTCAGTCAGCTTTAATGTGTCAAATGAGAGCTGTGAATAGTGCTTATTGGAAGCATACTGAAATGAAACTAATTACAAGATGTTTAAGTCCATAACTGAATGCACTTTGAAGCATCAGCTTGAGTGCAGCAACATTACACCTTCAACTAAATCTTAAACCTTTTCAAATAATTTTTTTTTAAATATTATGACTTTTTCTCACATAACTTTGATATTATAGCTCCGTAGGCTTTGCAATGTTTAGTTATGAGTGAGTAGATAGATTATCAATCACTGAGGCACCAAATGGAGCACAAGTGAATGCGTATGTACACAATAAATCAAGGGTGAAAAGCGTATCACCGTAACGTATCAAGGCTCAATGTGAATATGCCCCAAACTAAACCAGTGCAAGGTCTGTCAAAAAGAAATCAGGGATGATTCGATCATTTGTTTGTGATGATGATGGGTCTCTTCCTTCACTGCTAACTTCAGATTAGTTCATTCTTACAACAAACCAAACCACCCTTTTTGTCCCTGATTCTTTATTTTTATTTTAATACTTCCTCTTGTCCTGCAATAATTCTGTTTTTCCTCTCCTCTTCCCATATCCCAATAACTTCACATGTATTTCTCTTGCCATTTCCCTCAGATGGTACCCAAACTATCCCCCATCCCTGAACGCCACCTCCTCTTTCTCTCTAGGATCCAGCCTCCTGTTCCTGTCCCAGGGCCTCTAACAGGAGTCCCATGGGTGTCCTCTTCAGACCGATGCTCTCCAGTTTGTTCTCCAGCTTGTTCTTCAGGCTGCGCAGCCTCACCGAGGCATGGAGCAGAACCACTGTGAAGGAGCGAGAGACACAGAAGGATGGAGGGATAAAATGCTGGCTAGTTAGCTAGCTAACACTTCACTAAGGTTAACTGAGCCGACACAGTTTACTCTGTCTCAAACCGTAAATCCTTTTCTCAGTACTGGCTGGGCCTGGATTTACCTCAACTGTAGAGAGAACCAGGGCTTTACCTAAGTTTATACAAAAGACAGACCTTTATTTCAACATATTTTCCTCATATTTTATTAATTTATTGTTTGTGACCTGCTACAGTTTTACTTGTGGTTTTGATAAATTCTGAATGATGTACATTTCCAAAGCACCAATTCCAACAGTCAAGTCATACTCGCCACTCTGCTGCTCTCATTTTCTCTTCTCTAACAGAAACACTGTTTCCATTCAGTAATAAAATCGAATTGTTTCCATGTTGTGTTTTTTTCAAAACACTGTCAATTAAACTCAACATTTCTTGCACAGGTGTGTCACAATAAAAGCTTTCCATTGGCACAAATGGCATAATCCCTCCCAGTCCAGCAGGCTTTTGATGCAAAATACCAGCAGGAAGTGTTGAGTTTCAATTTTCTGTAGCTTAACAGTGACGGGCGGGGGGTGAGGTTGGGGAATGTAAAAATGATAATTAGCGAGTGAAAACTATGCTGTGGTTGTACTGACGGCTTTAGTACTGTGTAAATGTAAATTAAGCTGACTATGTAAGCCTATCGTAGAGGTAAATCCATCAGTGACGGGTCTTGATTTGTTTGTGCTACTCTGGCTATCATTGAGAATTTTATTGTATGCACTATAGAGCACTGCAACTTTTCAAGCCACATAAGATGTCTTATCATAAAAGGAAGACAATAAATGGAAACACAAAATGTGGCTTAAAATAAAGAAAGTCAAGCTGGAATAACATTAATTACACCAGATGAATTTCTAGCATTTCTGTTTTAGTGATAAGATTTAATGCATGAGATGTGACAAAATGCATTTCATGCATTGCCATAAAATTTGCAAAACAATATGCATTTTGCAGCATGCCAAATTCTGTCCAATTAAGCGTCATCATGCAAGTGGGCAGGTTAATTTCATGCTTTGGTGGAATATGCAAGTGTGTGTGTTGCTCTCTCACTCAGTATAGGGAAGGCTATCCCAAACAGGAACACGGCCACGCCTCCCAGCACCGATATGAAGAGGTAACTGCCCAAAAGAATGGCCAATACAGCGACCGACGGGTGGTTTCTACGGAAACGGCGAATGGGAGCTTGGTTCTCAGCTGCCCAGACAAAACCCAGGAACAACAATGTGACAACCATCGCCCCGACAAACAACTGGAAGGGCTGGAAATACCTGAGAGAAAAGAGACATTTACCAACATACAGTAAGTGTTTGAAATACCCAGAGACATAAAAAATACAGTTGTAGAGACAAGGCTTAGATAACAGAGGACAAAGTTTTTTGTTTTGTTTTTTAAACACATATAACCCTCCAAATCAATTGTTTCAGAAGCTTACACTTAATTAAATAAAAATGCCAGCAGTGATATTCAGTAATCAGACATGAGAGAACCAGAGGAGGCTAGTCCATATTTTTTGAGAGGGAAGAAGATCAAAATATAACAAACAGTAAATGGTTGAAATAAACCATCATCAAATCTCAGTATCATTTATAAAATAATTTCTCTCTTCTTCGGAATAAATCCATTATTAAAATTCACCTGCAGGACAGGCAAGAGGGGAAAGTGTAGGCTGTGTGAAGTGGTGGCGAGGGCAGAGGACTACAGGGATCTCATTTCAATTCAATGTACTAGTCTTTTTCATGCTACTCATTTGTCATTTGTCAAAAGATGTAAAATGATGCCCCCAGTGGAGGGCGTCCTCCCTTACCCATGGACAATCAGAATACAGTCGAGTTGGTCTAATAATAATCTCATCTTCAAATTCTCTACCACTGTATTGTACAAGATGAACTGCTGGTAAAGCCATAGACAGAGTCACAATAGATAAAAGATAGTAAAGAAAGTAAAGATAGTTTGTAGTCCATGCCACACACACAGAACGTAACATATATTTAAGTGTATATTAAAATATGGTAACATATAAAATAAAACAATATATACTGTTATCTATATACATACAGAATATACATAAACGTATACACCCCGACAATCCGGCAGTGCATTTTTTAAATTTGTGCCTGGGGTGAACGTACACAGCAGCAACAAGATGTTAATATGGTTTCATCTTCACATAAAAAAGTTTGACATTTGGGAAACTGTCCATCCTGGCTGTGCTGACCACCAAGCATCATCAATGTACAACACCTCCTCTCATCTTGCTGGAGTCTTGTGCTGACAGCTCGGAGAAACGGACCGCCTGCCGAGTTCTCGATGCGGGCCATTGATCGAGCAGGTTTCTGTAAAAATGTGGGCACAACAGTCTCTGAGTTCCATTGCTTGGCCAACATGAGTCCCATTTTTTCCCAGACAGGACCTTCAGTAGCCATTAAGTTAAAACTGGGCCAACATGGCTTCTCCCAGCTCTCTGTCTACTCCTCTGAGCGATCGCTGCACCTGCCATGGTACCTGGTCTGGTTGATCGGTCCATGTGGATTCTGGTCCGCTGCTCTTTAATCGTAAAACCCCGTCTTATTTTCAAATGACTGTTTTTCTGCCACAGGTAACACGTGTTTCAGCAATAAAGCAAAAAAAACGGATGAAAAACAAAAGAGTAGCAAAGTTTGAAGGAGCTACCGGCTGCTGCATCAAGCGCTGCCACGTGCCAACAGTACTGTTCAGTAGCAGCATATTAGAAAAAAATTGTTAACCACTTTTAAACATCTCTTAAAAATTACATTTTATTTAGGCCTTTTCAACACAGTCCAAATTTCCTTTTCAGATTTGTTTAGTTTTTTTATTTTTATTGAGCAGTAGCTAGCTAATCGTGTTAGCCACCTCAAGAGTTAGCTTGTTGTAGCTGGTGTAGCATAGGGCCTCGCTGCCTCAGCTGAAAAGGTGAGGTTGCTGAAGACAGTTTACTGTCAAAAGTCCTACACCATGGCAAGGATGAGCACAGCAACAAGACACAAGGTAGTTATAGTGCATCAGCAAGGTCTCTCCCAGGCAGACATTTCAAGGCAGACAGGGGTTTCCAGATGTGCTGTCCAAGCTCATTGGAGGAAGCACAAAGAAAAAGGCAACGCTGAGGAACGTGGACACAGTGGTCGACCAACGAAACTTACTGCAGCAGATGAAAGACACGTTGTGCTTACTTCTTTTTGCAATCTGAAGATGTCCAGCAGTGCCATCAGCACAGAGCTGCAGAAAACAGTGGGACAATGGTTCACCCATCTACTGTCTGGAGAAGTCTGATCAGAAGTGGCCTTCATGGTCAAAAAGCCACACTTCTGACATGGAAACAAGTCAGGGGGGAGTCTAGTTCTGGAAAGGTCCTTAGACAGTTGACACAGACAGGAAGCAAAGCTAAACAAGGACACCAGTGGCAGACAACTTCAAAATAAAACAGGAAGCCCAAGATGAATGAATAACTGACAAAACCAAAAACAAAATCAAGGACAAAGAATGAGAAAAACTCAGCCAAAACAGGAAATACCAAAAGTCAAAATCACAACAGAAGAAACTAAATGCTCTAACCCATAGCTCTTTTTCTGACAGGAATGGTATGGAATCCCACATGCTGCTGATCTTTTCAAAGTGCGATCAGTGAATCCTACTGACAACACAATTTAACTCACATACACAGCTAAGATGAAAAAGAACCAGATGGGAATTTATTGGAACTTTCAGACAAAAAGCATTTCAGATAGACAGCAACGTTTATTCTTCCTGTGTTCAACATTTGCCATTTCTACAAGCACCTGCCAACACATTCAGGTGATCAGCTAAAGTTCATCTAATCACCGATTCATCATCAACACTGTCCCTTTCCACCCAAAAGCAAAATAAAAAGGAAAAAAGAGGAGATGTCAGTGAGACTTTTGTGAATAAGCTAAATGGCCATGTGACCGTACCTGATGCTTTACTGGATAGTCATTTTCTTATATGCTTCAAAAGGGAACAATATAGCCATACACATTTAGAGTTCTCTCTTCCGTCCTGTTTATAACAGTAACGGTTTTGTATACTATGGCCGTTTTTCAAGATAATTTGCATATAAATGATTCCTATATATGTGGCAAATGAATCAATGTGTTATCACATGTTCTGTTTTTTATGGCCCATCTCATGCTCATGTTCACCTGGCGAAAATGATTTTCTTAGCGGTAAATTAAAAGTGACCAGATGAAAATAAGGACTAAGAACATTCTGTTGTGTTATCAAGCATGAATGTAATTGTAGCCAAAGTATTAACAAAAAATAAACTACAACCAGTGAAATCTGACTGCCACAAACACGGTAGGGAATTTTTTTGGCAGTCACTCATTCTCTACTGTCCATGTAACAGACAGTTTACGCTAATTGGGGAGTAATTTGAAATGTCTGACATGTAGTCCATGATTCATCAGTTTGCCTTAGGGTAGCATAAGTGCAGTTTTTAGATGTCTGATGCAAAACCCAGGCTCAGGTGTCTGACTCTAGAAGATGATGTAGTGGTACCATGTACATTTTATTCTCTCTCTCTCTCTGATTTTACATCATAGTCACATCTGAGTTTTAGGATATAACAGAAATAAAAAAAACTATGTAAATTCTTAAATTGTGTGGCGTTCCCTTTAACTGACTGGCAGCCTCCTCTCTTGCCATCTGTAAAACTGTGTCGTGTTGACGGGACGACTCTCTCTCTCGCTGCTGTTAGAAATGCAAAGACACTGTGAAGCGGCAAAACAGAATATAAATGACATAACGCCAGTGTTTTCTACAGACTCACAATATGCAATACAGCCTTTCTGCTACCAGACCGAAGCAGGAGAAAGGGAGGGGGGTGTTGACCACGTCAGTATAATGAAACTTACCCCACTATGAGCAGGAGGACCAGCGCGGACAGGAAATAATTGCTCTGGTAGTACAGCAGGTTGTTGATGATGCGGTTGTTCCAGCGGTCCAAGTCGCGCACATCGGGCACGGCGAACCGGGCCGAGCTGAGGAGAAAATCATCCAGGCTCCGGAGGGGTGGCGGCTGCACGCCTGCCATCTTACCCAAACGGCAGTAAACTCGATTTCCCAGAATGCAATGCCGAAAACGCGTGTCGGAGCATCGAGAATGCGCTTTCGGTCCCGCAGTAATAGGGGGAATATATTCAAATAAAATATTTGTAAAACTAGGCCTATCTCTTAATATTACTTTATAGCGTGTTGGGTGACATTCACGGAGTTTTACGTAGGCCCATAGGATAGCCTAGAGTATAACCTAGATATTTCGTTTAGTCTAGTCTTCTGACTTGACTCATGACAGAGGTAGGCCTATAGCCCGACAGTTGACCTTTTGACATATCGCCTATTCAGGGCCATAACCAGGGTTTAGAAATGAGTGAGATCCAGATTGTAATTTTTTCATTCTATTCCTATTTACAATAATTCATACAGATAAACACAACCAAAGTTATAAACCACAGTCATACGAACTACTGGTTGTGTGAAATTCATACAAAAGTAAGCTGTTGGCAAACATACTTTTATTTAGCTGAATTTTGCTCTCTTCTTCTGTGTGTGTGTGTGTGAGTGTGCAGTGAAGGTTTAAACCCTGCAATGGGCAAAGCACTTGGTTTGGTTGAAGATCACACTACAGACATTGTCTTTCTCCCCACTGATTCGCTCACTAAATTGCATAAAATTAGAGATACAGATACACAAGCTATGATCTGGTAGTGCAAACAGGGAAATCTTGGTATAGGCTAATCTTCACAACATGCATTAGGCTAAATGTATCTGAAATGTAACCTTCCACTGTCATCAGAGGACTATACTGTTGGAATGAAGTGTAGGCTACAATGAGCACTATTGTTATTAGGCCTATATGACAACAAAAATACAGCAGGTTAGTGCTGAATTCAGAGGATGCAGCTGTTTGCACTGTTTTGTCACGATTACAGGAGCTACACTGGTGTGATGCGCGGATCGGCTCTGACACTATCTGAATAATCATGTACGCATAAATCATCCACCCACCCTCCACCCATCCAATTGTTTTCTCAGATTTACCCCACCTCTACCGGTCCTTGTAGCTTTCCAGGTGGTTTTGTTATTGGGTTGTATTGATGTTTTCTTTAACGGTTTACTTTTATGATTAGAGACGCTGCTGTCAGTCAATTTAAACGTTTCCATGCGCACAGTAGCCAAATGTCACAGCAAATTTCGGGGGACATTTATGCAGCAAAACAAAACAAAAATGTAGCTAAAAACTTGACAGGACAGACAGAGGACACTCTGCAGAGGAAACGGAATTCAACTTTTAGCCTGTGAAATGTTTGGATGCCCTGATGGAGCTCAGGATTGATCAGGAGAGCGGCTGCTTCGCTCCAGACAGCGTCACTTTTTCATGTGCTTCATGTGTTCTCCCAGGTCTGGACACTGATGGAGAAACAGTTTTTCAACTTGAAATAAGCCTTGCGTCAGTGTAATCAGCTGCGTCCGCATGGTCCTAAAGTCCTCATTTAAATGTAGCTTATTATCAGTGGTTTTTATTCGAATTTTTTTTATTAATAGGCCTACATATAATTACAGAGGTCCGTACCTCGGTGACCACATAGCTGGTTATGGCCATGAGCCTATTCCGCTCTTTTCAATGTACTTTTATACAAACACACACAATACACATTTAGTCTTTAATAAATGAAAGCAAGAGCGGCTGTGATTGCAACTCTTTCAAATTTCATACCAAAAAGTGCCATCCATCTCTTTTTCAAGGGCGCCCCGGCCAAGAAAGGCAGAAGGACAGTACAGACATAAAATTATACAATTAAAAACATCTACCATTTACCATGCAACAGCAACAACACGCTATAAAAATCTATAGCTGGGTAAGTTGTCACACTGTTCATAGAGAGTGTGCACTTGTGACAATTTGCCCCATCATCAGATAAATTGTCATAAGTGCACACTCTCTTTTCAACAGTCTACAACTCCATAATGAGATAAGATATGAAGATGTGATGAATACAAAATATCCTTCTTTCATTTGGTATGACATTTGTACCATTGTGATGTACGGTGCCCAGTTAATGTTAGACAGTGTCAACATACCTTCATACAGATAAAATACACTATTGGAATGCCTGCTCTTTTAAAACATTACATTAAAAAAAACCTGTAATCAAGGATTTGAACTTCGCAAAAAGGCACCAGCGCCTCCAACTGGGGGGTCGTTTGCAAAGAGTTCCAAGTAGATGGGGCACAGCAAGAGAAGGCTGTTTCCCTTGGGAACTTTTAAAAGCAGTAGCCTGGTGGACTGGGTACAATGTCTGCAAAGCTAAGTAGGCTACTAATGTAATTTGGTAATTTGCACAAGAGTGCCCTATTGATACAAATAGGCCTACACAAATGTAGCTGTCTCCACATAGCTAATGATAGCCAGTCCACCATTTCCATAGTAATAGCAAAGGTAGGTCTTTGTGTCTTTGTGAAAACCGAATTATCACAAGTGTGGCCAGTGTTTGCAGTTTATAGTGCAGTTTGCTGTCTTGCCGCCAATTTCTTTGAATTTATTTAACCCTTTTTCTTGGGTTAGATTTTCCAACCACAATCACAGCAACAGCCACCCACGGCCAAAGCTATCATCCCATGGCTAGTAATAATGACAGCTACAGTCTGTCTCTATCAGCCTCAGCAGTAGTCAGTGAGAGAGGTAGGTTAAGTAGCTCCACTTGTAAAATCTCTCTATAGGATTGGTGCACAGGAGATCGATCATCACCATGGTAAGTTGACAAGATTGTAAAGGGACAAATGTTTCTGTTTAAGACATTTATTGCCACCATGCACACATATGAGATGTAGTGTTGCGTCGTTCAAAGAACGTTTCGTTCATTTGACCTAATCTTAAATATGACTCAGGAGGAATGAGTAGTCTGAGGAAGTAATCCGTTCATTTTCACACATACGTGAATAGTCTTGTACTCTTATGTTCACTCGTCACACGGCAGCTTCATGGGCTCCGTCAGCACAGGAAACAGAATTGATTAGGCAGCACAGGAATAATTAGTTCACGACTCTCAACTGTGGGTGTCAGGGGACAGGGCTGTGCTGTTGATTCACAGCTCTTGACTGGTTTGTGTTTGAGAGCGATGTGCTCATGTTTGTTTCTCTCTGTCTGCAGAATGCAGACTTGATGTGGCCCATTCTGCGTCCAGACCTGCCAAACTGCTACATTTATATTATGTGTTAATATTTCTTAGTTCCTCTCTCTGTGCTGGAGTTCTTTTAAGAACTTGGTGGCTTGATCCAGATTATTATTAAAGTTGTTCAAATTTATTAATAGTGTGTTTTATTCATATAGTGTGTTATTACTTCATTATATTCCCAGCAAATCTGATGTTAATATACAGATGTTACCCATGGATAGGGACGTTAGACTTCTGTATGAATGAGCACTTTAGAGATATAATGATGGTAATTATAATTATATACATATAGATGTCTGGTCTGGTTGTACTGTGAAAATGGACAGATTTGGCCGGAGTAGTGGCAATTGAATACTGACAACATATTTCTGTGGTTTTTACAGGGTTTGAATTTGTTTGTGGCCCCATGGGGCTTTATAGAATAAAGAAAGATCAAGAGTTGAATTTGTGCATTATACTTTGTCAATTAAAGCAAACCAGCCAGACTTCCCTGTTTGAGAACTGCACTGTTTTTTAATCGCCCTCTAGAGGGCTGCAGTGCCGCATTAACCAGCCTAGATTGATTAGTTGATATCTAGAAATGAAAGAAATGACTCCAAAAAAAGATTAGTTCATTTCAATTAACAAGATTTAAAGATTAGAGTCAGTAAAAAGATACCATCACTAATGAGATGATGAGGCTTGACGGTTATGGTTTTCTACAAAAAAACAGAAAAACACACTTAATGATAATTAGTTAATACCAATATATAACATAGCCCTTAACAACTAGGTGCCTAACAAACAATAAACTTTAGTACCCTAACCAATGGGGTGACGGGGCAGGCGTACACTCCTTTTAACAATTACATAATATCAGATATATAATAATTCACCAAGAAATTTTAAGTTAGGTTATATGGTTTCCTGCATTTCCTTAAGAACTACAATTAAGAACCATGTGCACTGTGCACTTACACACAATATCATATCTGTAGTCACAAGGCAAACAATCAAGGCGAAGATTATAGCATCTACCAATATGTCCTGGTCAAGCATTCAATCAGATACAGCAAGTATGAAAAGGCAGTAAACTGACTTTATCACGCACAAACATATCTGACTTAAAAGAAACAGAGGGCCCTCACATGTGGTGTGTGTTGCTACCAGCCAGAACAAAGTGGATGGGTGGGGCATAAGAGTGAGTGAGATCAGGTAGGCGGGTCCATGCCATGGAAGTAGGCAGAATGGTATGGCTCTATTCTACACCACTAGTTATCTATCTAACTGCATAATTCAAAATATTATATCATAATACACTCAGCCTTTTTTATGGAAGAGGCAATGCAAAACACATAAAAGGAATTCCTATACTGTGACCTGTCAGGGGATAATTGTGGGATAAGCGACAAAAAAGTTACTGCAGCCATGGCCGCGTTCTTCCCTAAGAATATATTAATTGAATGTAATACATTTTTAGAATTATATTAAAATATTACATGTTGTGTAGTTTTCTTTTATATGACATTATTCTTAATAATATCCATTATCATGTTCATTGGACTACACGGTATTATTTTGTTCTTTTGTTGGCTTAAGTCCTTCCTTTGTTCTTTTATTTAAAAGGGCACTCAATTTTACAGGTTCTATTTACTTGTCATGAGGAGTGCTATTCAGTTAATTTAATTATGTCTTGTGTGGCTACATGTCAAGTCCATGAAAAAACTCCTGATGATGTCATCAGGTTATCTTGGATTTGGCTTGAGACTTCAAATCTAAAAAAAATAGAAAAAGGTATTAGTTAAAACGTTTGTTTAATTTTTGTGGCATGAAGTCTGAAAGGCGGGAAGGGTCTGAAGAATCCTATCAATCTGCATTATGGACATGACAGGATCCATTCTTT